AATATTTTCAATGAACTTGTAGAAGAAGAAGAAGAAGAAGAGGTTATTCGGATGGAAGGGGAATAGAATGTTAAACTGTGGAAAACAAACTTGGTTATTTCAATGATTAAGATCATGAGTCAGTTGAAGCTAGACCACCATGGAAAACCTGGAAGCACTGGACGGCCGTTTCGTCCTATTATGGGACTCCCCAGCAGTGCGCACCCACGACCTCGCCCCCTGCGAGATTCGAACCCAGGACCTACCAGTTTCGCGCGCGAGCACTTAACCACTAGACCACTGAGCTGGCCGGCATCCAACGGTGTTAATGTCTAACTTCAACTAATCCACGAAATTGAGCGACACATCCACCATTGTCTTCAGTGAGTTACTATCCCACAACAGACCTGGTTGAACTCCACTGGTCACTACTTCTCACTAGAACTCCAGGATATACCTCTTGAAGCCAGTCACTAGTGAGCATATGTTGATTATTATCAGAAGGGGTTTTGTGGAGATTGTAGTAATTTCAATGACTCATGATCTTAATCATTGAAATTACTACAATCTCCACAAAACCCCTTCTGATAATAAACTTGGTTATGACAATGAACAGTAAATGTATATAACGACAAAACAAACAAGCAAACAAATCAACTACTATTTTATTTCCGTAAGTAGTATAGTTAAATCAATTAGTGATTTCAAATGAACAATTCGTTGTCAAGTTAAGAAAAATAGATTCTATCAAAGAAACGATTACAATTTTCATTTAGATTAGATTTAATTGTGTGTTTAGCTGCTTTAATCACTACTTTTTTTTTTACCATGAAGCTAGATGAATTCATTGTTCAACTTCCCAATGATATTTCATCTATTCACGTTAAGTTTATAAATACAAAAAAAAATAAATCAATACAGAAATATAACAAAACAGAATAACTGAAACAAATGAAACAATCAACACAACAACATGTTCACAATATCTCTAGAAGCAACAACATATTTGATTTAAAAGCATCTAATATATCATAATTGAACAAGATAGATGTACAACAACGTAAGATATTTGAAGGTCAACATAAAGAAGTTGAATGTGTTCAATACGCCAAAATGGATGGCTTAGTCATGAAGCTTTCATTATCTTCACAAACCATATCATTAGCACATACTTAGATAAAATTTCTTTATCGATATATATTGAATGCGAGTCTCGATTAAGTAAGTAAGTAAGTAAGTAAGTAAGTAAGTAAATATATAGCTTAGTAATTAGGTAAGTAGGTGAGAGAGTAAGTAAGTAATAAGTTAATGAGTAATTGAGTTATTAAATGAGTCAGTAAGTAAATAATTAGTTATATAAATGAGCAACTAAGTAAGTAAGTAGGTAAGTAGGTAAGTGAGCACGTGAGAAAGTATGTAAGTATGTAAATAAATAAGTTAATGATGAGTAAGTAATTAAGTAACTAAGTATGTGCATAATTAAGTGAGTAATTAAGTAAATAAGTAAGTACGTAACGATTTAATTAATTAAATAAGTATGTAAGTAAGTGAGTGAGTAACTGAATAAAACATTAAGTAAGTAAATAATTAAGTTAGCGAGTAAGTAAGTAAACTTTATATAACTACTTAAGTAAGTAAATAAGTAAGTCAGCAAGTAAGCAAGTAAGTTGGTAAGTAATTAAGTGAGCAAATGAGTACGGAAGTAAGTAAGTAAATAAGTAAGTGAGTAAGTTAGTAAGTAGGTTAATAAACGATTAAGTGAATACGGATATAAAAAATTAATTATCTAAGTAAGTTAGTAAGTAAGTAAGTAAATAAGTAATTAGGTATGTAGGTACGTAAGATAGTAAATAAATATGCAAGTATATAAGTAAATAGGTAATTAAGTGAGTAAGTGAGAAAGTATTTAACTAAGTACATAAATAGGTAAGTAAAATAATAAGTAGATGATTAAGTAGATAAGTAAGCAAGTAAGTAATTTGGTAGGTATTTTCGTAACTTAGTGATTAAGTAAGTAATTAAGTGAGTAAGCAAGTAAGCAATAAGTTATTAGGTAATGAGGTAGTTAAGTTAGTAAGTTACTAACTAAAATAGTAAGTAAGTGAATAAGTGAGTAAGTGAGTTAGTCATTAAGTAAGTAAGTAATTAGGTAAGTTAGTAAGTAAGCAAATAAGTAAGTAAGTAAGTTAGTAAGTAAGTGGGTGAGTAAATAAATATGTAAGCAATTAAGTAAGTTATAAGTATGTAAATATGTAAGTAAGTAATATTCCAGTATGCTACAGATCATCTTGAAAATATTAAAGGCATAGCTGTGAAACGTTTTATTCCATCGGGTAATTCAATTCCTTTAACTTTTTATATGCACCTTATCCTATGTATTCTATTGTTGTCAAACATTGTCGACTGTAGAAACAGGTGTCTACCTTAGTACAATGGAAGATGATCGCGCAATTTCGTGGATTGGTTGAGGTTAGACATTAACACCGTTGGATGTCGGCCGGCTCAGTGGCCGAGTAGGTTAAGCGTTCGTGCGTGTGAGTGAAAGCCCTGGGTTCGAATCCCTTTGGTGCGGGATCGTGAATGCGCACTGCTGTACAGTCCCACAATAGAACGAAACGGCCGTCTAGTGCTTTCAGGTTTTCAATGGTGATCTAACATCAATCGGTTCATGATCTCAATCAAAACTTGACAATCTCCATAACACCTAAATTGATAATTAATCATTCAGTTAACTCTTCCATAATGTTAGTGATTAATAAGCAATATATGGAAATGGACTATATTAACATCAGGAACTAGATGCTTCATTGTTCATCCCTATATAATATTCAAGTATTATGCTTATTAAGGCTTATACGAAATAGATTTTCACTATTGTTATTTGTACGAGACTTGACTTTTTATTCAGGAAAATCGTTTGTTTCAGTTGTCGGGGCTAACTGAAAAATTTATAAATTTCATATAACAGACTATACAAGTTTTTGATAGCATAGTTGATTTATAAATATCAAGTTCAGATGATTTGTTTATCGTTTCATTGTATTTTTCTAAGTATCAAAAAGCTTTTAAAACTCTGATTGTAGTTTACGAAACTAACTGTAATATTATCAGAAGGGTTTTCTTTTTTTTGTAGAGATTGTAGTAATTTCAATAGTTAAGATCATGAGTTAGTTGAAGCTAGACCATTATGAAAAATCTGGAAGCACTGGACGACTGTTTCGTCCTATTATGACACTCCTCAGAAGTGGTCTAACTTCAACTGACTCATGATCTTAACTGTCGGAGTATTCAGAAAATACCCCAGAAATTATCTAATGCCATTCCTGAATGAGAAATAGTGTCATTTCCCCATTGGTCAATATTCTTCCAACGTGTCATTTCCCTATTGGTCAATATTTATTTGTGTCATTTCCTGAAGGTTAAATCTTGTACACATTTGTATTTACTAGTTTATGGTACGATGTAGTCTGTTTGTTTGGTATATAAACAGTGTATGTTTGAAATATAATGATTCACATCACCGAGGCTGAGACTTGTGTTCTGGACTCAACTGGCTGGGTTAGACAGGGAAGCAGGGTCAATCAGAACTCTAGGCTTTTCGTACGTGTTTACGCGTCTTTGGTCCGATCAATAATCCTCTCACTCTCTCTCCTCAAATCGCACGTCGCTCTCACACAGTTATAACAATTGGCGACGGCAATGGGATTCGAACCCACGCGGGGAAACCTCAATGGATTAGCAGTCCATCCTCTCACACAGTTATAGCATTAACCATTGAAATTACTATAACATCCACAAAACCCATCTGATATAAAAAGTTTTTTGTAGAAACAATAGTTTAGAAATAAATACCTTCATACAGTTCAGTTATGTTGTAAGAGTAAGGTTAGTGTTACCGTAAAAGTGAGATTGAGTGGGTGAGTGGTGTGATTGTTATTATCAGGAGTTAGTTTCTATTGTTTATATAGTTATTTATTGTATTACATAAGCTTAATTAAATAATCTTGATATAGATTGATGTAAACGAAGTTCTTTAAGTATCAAAGAGAGTTGATTAGAATTTAAATCCGATTACTAACAATAGTGACGTGATACATATATAACTTTACAAATACATTTGAATAGCTGAAGCTATACTTTTACTTATTTTAAACTAAGAAACATACCACAGTTTTTTTAATGGTTAAGATTATGAGTCAGTTGAAGCTAGACCACTATGGAAAACCTGGAAGCATTGAATGATTGTTTTGTTTTATTACGGGACTTCTTAACAGTGCGCATCCACAACCTCGGTCCCTGCGAGATTCAAACCCAGGACCTGTCATTCTCGCGTGTAAGCGTTTAACCACTAAACCACTGAGCCGACATCCAACGGTGTTAATGTCCACGAAATTGAGTGACACATTCATCATTGTCTTTAGTGAATTACTATCTCACACTACGGATGCACAATATTGAGGAGTCTCACAATAGAACAAAATGGTCATCCAATACTTCCAGCTTTTCTATAATGGTGATCTATCTTCAATTGACTCATCATCTTAATCATTGAAATTTTTTTCAGATATTTTCCAATAAATCATTGTTAATGATGTACAATTATTGATTTACAACAACAACAACAACAACAACAACAACAACAACAACAACAACAACAACAACAACAACAACAACAACAAGAACAAGAACAACACAATTTGGTTATTATTATTTATTGGTCAAATCAATTTATCCAATTGTAATGTATCATACATACATACATACATGCATGCATACATACATACATACATACATACATACATACATACATACATACATACATACATACATACATACATACATACATACATACATACATACACACATACACACACATACATACATAAATACATACATACATACACACATGCATACATACATACAAGCAGCATACATACATACATAAACAAGTACAATTCATTGAATTATTTATAACACTTATATTTATATACTACTTATAAAATGTATTTCAGTAATGATCAAATTCATGTTATAATGTATTCTATATTAATCGTTTATTTATATTGTTATGGTTATACATTTGTTAATCTATTAAATACAGATCATACAATGAATGAATTTATAAATGAGAATAATGATGAATATGGAAAATTAATTTGGTCAAATGAATCGTACAGACAAGTAACCATATGATTGATATAAAATAGTTATATTCATTCAATTAGTCTTATCATTATTATTATACACAATTGATTAAAGTGAATCAATTATCTCCTATTCTATTTCATGCATTTAATCAAAGTTTCATTAATGCAATATCATATCTGGTAAATTGATTGATTAATTCATTGATTAATTGATTGATTGATTAATTGATTGATTGATTGATTAATTGATTGATTGATTAATTGATTGATTGATTGATTAATTGATTGATTGATTGATTGATTGATTAATTGATTGATTGATTGATTAATTGATTGATTGATTGGTTTGTTGTTGTTGTTGTTGTTTATCCAATCAATTATTAACTCTATAATTTATAGAATGTAAGTACTTTATTCCCAATAAAATATTATGGTATGGAATATAATACAGTGAATATATTATCTAAAGGTAAGTATCAACTTAAAGTTTGATTTATGGTTAATTCATTTTGGCAAATGATTTGTATCATTTATTATATAATCATACTTTACAAATGACTTAGTTGATCTAGTTTATATCTATAATGATATATCAATAATTGAGATTGCAGTCTGTCTTCATTCTTTACTGTTCGATCTACTTGTCTCTCTCTCTCTCTCTGCTGTTAGACATTCTGTTCATGACTAACATTATATAGAACTTATGTCTACATAAGTAGCACACATACCACACTCATCCCCCGTTTAAAAGCAGTCGTTCTTGCAGTGGTTCATGCTCGCCGTGCAATATTCTTCTTTTCTGAAGTTTGTAATATGCTCTCCGTCAAGATGTCAAGTCTGCGGCGCGCTGACCTCCATAGCTCCGTCGACCCGCCGGGGAACCAACATCCGACCTCCACCCGGCACTTGCGACGTTTGACACCCTTACTTCACCGGCCTTCTGAGCCATCTACATCCGATGTCCGCCCAGCAGCCGCACGTCCCAACGCTCCTCTCCGTTGACGGGACCCGCCATAGCCAACGCCGCCCCACCAGAACACTCCACTCGAAGCCACCTCTCCGCACCAGACTGCCCCAACCTGCACCTCAGCTCCAGGCCTGCAACGGCGTCCGCAGAACAGCATCCTCCTCCTCTCCTAGTTGGCAGCGACACTAAATGTAGTGAGCAACAACACCAGTGGGGACAATCGAATGTATTTCACAACAAATTACAGAACTAGTTACTAAAATCTAACAACCATATATTTAATGCTCGATTTACAAAATGTCCATCCATTGTCTCGTAATGACTCAGGCTTCCTTTGTTCTTGCATTTTCATGCAAATTTGCAGTCTGCTTTCATTCTTTACTGTTCGATCTACTTGTCACTCTCTCTCTGATGTCAGACATTCTGTTCATGACTCACGTCATATACTACTTATGTCTACATAAGTAGAACACACCACAGCGGTACATATCATTCCCATTATCTCACTACTTTCTATGAATGTATAATTTATTACCAATCTGTCATAGCAATTGAATACATTACTTCCACATTGATGAGTTCTAACAATTGCAATTCATTATTCCTTTATCTTGATACAAATCGAGTTTAAAGACATTTCACATCAATCAGTTCGTTTATAAATGAAATGTATTATTGTTCAATTTCTATGCCAAATACATTCAACAAAGAGTCCACTGAATAGTTTTACATCTTTAATGTCTTTCTTCTTTCATCTCAATTAAGGAATTGTGGGTATTGGAAAATCATTTCGTCATTCCGGTGCAATGAAAAAAATTGAAGTTTTCAATGGGATGGATAAAGATGGTGGAGTGGAGATAATGAATACTAGTAAGCTTTCACAGCCTATTCATGATATCAAGTATTCTACTGATCTATTTACGTACCTTTTTTTTTCCAGACATTTTCTATCGACAACAATAAATTGCATGGCAATAACCAATTATGTATCACTGATAGTTTTAAGAAACGAAACTAAGACGAACTACCTATATTTAGTAATCCCAATAATCCCAAAACATCATAAGAACAACGATACTGTAGTTGTAAATCTAGTCACTAGATACGTAATTTATGGAAAAACCACATTATCTCGTTCATCTCTCTTTACCATAACTTTATTAATCTAATATAGACATCCTTCTACAAACACTGAAAGTAAGAATGATCTCAGTAAATCATAAATTAAATTCTCACTCAAAATAATAATCGTTTATGTGACTGCTTCTTCTTCGACACTAAGGCTTGCCTGAGAAGATAGTCAATATCATACGGAATTCCTATGATGGATTCAACTGCAAAATCGTTCATGGAGGACAGTTGACAAACTCCTTCGAAGTAAACACCGGTGTCATGTAAGGTTGTTTACTCTCACCCTTTCTCTTTTTCCTGGTGATCAACTGGATCATGAAGACGTCAACATCTGAAGGGAATCACGGGATACAGTGGACATATAGGATGCACTTGGATGATCTAGACTTTTGCAGATTATCTGCCTCTTCTATCGCACACGCAACAACAAATTCAGGAGAAGACAACCAGTGTAGCAACAGCCTCAGCAGCAGTAAGTCTCAATATACACAACAAAGGGAAAAGCGAAATTCTCCGGTACAACACAATTGACGGAGAAGATGTGGAAGATGCAAAAATCTTTACATATTTGGGCAGCATCATCGATGATGCAGATGTGAAGGTGCGAATCAGTAAAGCAAGAGCAGCATATTTACAACTGAACAACATCTGGAACTTAAAACAACTGTCTGTCGACCAACACCAAAGTCAGCATTTTCAATACAAATGTCAAGACAGCTCTACTGTATGGGGAGGAAACCTGGAAAACCACGAAAGTCATCATCCAGAAGATACAGGTGTTTATTAACAGTTGTCTATGCTATGCAAAATACTTCGGATCCGTTGGAGAGACACTATTAGCAACAACCTACTGTGGGAGAGAACAGATCAGATGTCAGTGGAGGAAGAAACCAGGATGAAGCGCTGGAAGTGAATAGAACACACATTGAGGAAAGCACCGAACTGCGTCACAAGACAATCCCCCATGACTTGGAATCCTCAAGGCCAAATGAGGAGAAGAGGAAGACCAAAGAACACATTACTCCGTTGAATGGAGATAGACATGAGAAAAATGAACAAGAATTGAATGGAACTAGAAAAGTAGGTCGAGGACAGAGTGGGTTGGTTAGAGAATGCTGGTCGGCGGCCTATGCTCCATTGGGATTAATAGGCGTAATTAAGTAAGTAAGTGGTAATATATATAAAAGAAAGATTGTGTATAAGGATATAATACAGGAAGAAAGAATTAGTTCATAGAATGAAAGATATGAAGCGATTTTAGTCTCTTAGTTTGAAGGAAGACAAAGAGTGTATACACCTACGCCATTGTGATCGATTCTGAGCTATATCACCCAGAGTCTCCAACTATTGGTTACGATAGTCACACGGACTCCAACCAAGTAATCTGATTCTATCAACGTGGGTCAGACTAGAGATTACTGACTTCAAGGACTGATGTTACATTTTAGTTTGGCCGCTTCTTACTTTCTTTCAATGAACACTAACATTAGTAAACATTACGCGTCGTGGTGATCAGTGGTCTAACCATCTAAGTCGATTTACATTCATAACCTTATCAACTGATTTATCATCATTCTTCTATAACCTCCGTCTATCCTCATTATTATTCACGCGGTGATGTCAACAGATAGAAGCAATATTTCCAAGACATCTGTGATCATATACTCGTAACTTACAAGTATCCCCTACTGTTAATGGTCAAGTTTCGCAACCATAAAATAGGACAGAACAAACTCCAGCACAGTATACTCTTCCTTTTAATTAATAGTCAAAGTAACAAGTTGTTATTTTAATCAAATATAATATCACCATTATCCTTAAAAGAAAGTTCATTTCATATATCCAGAGAATAAAGAAAATAACATAATTTTCTATTGTTTCAGATACATTTTTGGCTATAAAATGGATGAATTTAAGTATATCTACTTTGCATGATGATGAACCGGAAGAATATGGTAAGTGGTACAGTTTATGTTTTGATCATTTCAAAAATAAACACCGTTTAATGAAGATATTTATTATTTATTCATTTATTTTAACACATAGGTATTAGTACAAGGAGGCACCAAATACATATGCGCCACACGAATCGCAATTGATTTGTGTGAGGGCTGTGATATTGCCCTGGTGCCCAAACCGAAGCAGGTGGTTTTCTTAGGGGGAGGATATTTTTACTTTAGTTACATCTGAATATATTCAAGGAAATAATTGAATGTTTCATCTGTCAAACTGTCTATATTCATTTAGTATTTTAATAAGTAAACTTAATTAAATGAAGTAAAATGGAGTATATAGACTATCAATTGTTGTTTGGTAATAAGTTCAGTCCATGTTATAGGCTGCCAAATATCAATTCTTACTCACAAGTATGATTTGTTTATTTGAATACATAAATATTGGTACAAGAGGGCACCAAATATATATGCACCACACAATTCTTCATTTTATTTGTGTGTGGGATGTGATACTGACCGGGTGCCAGGTGGTTTTGTTAGGGGGCCACACCCCGAACCTTCGACCTGAAGATCTGATCCATAATGCAGTGGAGCATCGTGAGGCGATGCAGTCCCATGGTAGCCGGTGACCAACGATTGTTTCATACGCCATTTGTTCCTTCAGGATACTGGAGTTAGCCCATGTGCACCATTGGTTTGGGATTCGGTTAAAGCGCTAGACATTCGTGTTTCGTTCTCTCATTTTCGTAAACAACACCCCCTCCAAGTGAAGGTCAGTGAGTAGCACTTCCCTGGGCAGAGGCTATATACGCGTGGTCATGTGAAAGCATTTCGAAAGGAAGAGCGGGCCCACCCCACTCTCGGCCGTACTAGGGCATTTGTGGGCACCACCTTACATCTCAATATAATGGACTAATACTAAAACATTATATTAATTTATAAGAAATATGATCATTTAATGTTGTTGCTAAGACACCATGCATGATGATTGATTAAAGAGACGATAGAATTCCAAATGATAACATTGATATCAATGATAAACGTTGTGCTTAATAAATTTCCATTCAAATAAGTATACCGACATTCAAAAGGTAACAAAGATTGTATATGTATGAAGTGCCATTACTTTGTTGTTTATTGATTGGTCTGTTGGGATATACAGAAAACTATCCCAAAAAATTATCCTGTTAAGTCTAATGTTATCATTCTTAAACTTGAAGTGGTATCATTTTCCCTATTGGTCAAATCTTGTACACATTAGTATTTTGTATTTTATGGTATGATGTAGTCTGTTTGTTTAGTAATATAAACAGAGTATATTTGAAATAATATAATAATTCATATCACCGAGTCTGAGATTGATGTTCTGGACTCAACTGGTTGGGCTAGACAGGGAATCAAGACAAATCGGAACTCTAGACTGTTCTTACATGTTTTACGCGTCTTTGGTTCGATCGATAATTCACTGTCGTCTATTCCGCGCAGTGATCACAATATATCACATGATCATAACTATTTATTTCTTGAAATTCGATGAAAACGATTATGTCTCTGATGATGAAATTTGTTGAAAATGTTAGATCATTAAATGTTGATATTGATTCTTAGAGAATATGTCGTTTCCTTTTTTTATATTCAACTGTCCATGTGTATTATATTGTCATGGATTGAATTCATTTTAATGAATAGATTATGTAAACTTTCAACTTGACTAATATTTTAATTTTAGCCATAGTAACTTGTATTATATACTCTAATGGTAATATATCAATTTACTATGAGAAGGTAAGTGAACCTATTAATCATTTATACATTATAGGATTATAAGATTCATAGTATTGAGTATTTCCACAGAGGATCTTTTTTTTGTTTTTTTTTTCTTGTTACCTTGATTCGAGTCCATTTTTTCTTGGTGTATTTGCTCTGTATTCATCATCATCTACACTCCATAGTTCACAAATATAATATATGCCATTAATCTTGTTGATATCGTTCATAGTCCTCATGTTGTACAATATGATGTTCGCTCAAAACGTGAACAATGATTAAATGAGAAATTTAGTAGGAACAGGCAAAATAATGTTAAACACTAACACCATTGGATGCCGGCCAGCTCAATGGTTGAGTAGGTTAAGCGGTTCGCGCGCGAGACTGAAGGCACTGGTTTCGAATTCCTTTGGTGCGGGATCGTGGATGCGCACTGCTAAGGAATCCCATACTAGGACAAAACAGCTGTCCAGTGCTTTCAGGTTTCCAATGGTGGTCTAACATCAATCGGTTCATGATCTCAATAAAAAAATAATAGAATTTTTAATTCATACATATAAGTTAAGTGTTCGATTGATTTCCTTTTATTCCATGAGTATTATAAAGAAACATTGAAATCAAGATCGGTAATATATGATTGCATGACTTCTTTATCCCTTAATTAAAGTAGACTAATCTATATTCTGAAACAGGTTTGACTAACAAGTCTGAAATTTCATCTGTTCTACTGTTCTCAACTACTAATCAACTTGAAAACATCATTAGACATTGTCACATATTTGGAATAAGTAAGTAAGTAGTCAAGGATTTCGCAGATGACCTAGCCCTCCTATCGTAGATAAAGACAGACAGCATAGCACCAGTCTCTGAATTAGTAGGCCTCAATATACACAAGGGGAAAACCAACGTCCTCAAATACAACACGGAGAACAGCAATCCAATCACTCTTGATGGCGAAACCCTGGAAGATCTGGAATCCTTCACATATCTGGGAAGCATCGTCGATGAACAAGGAGGTTCAGATGCAGACGTAAAGGCGAGGATTGACAAAGCAAGGACAGCATTCCTACAATTCAAGAACATATGAAACTCAAAACAACTGTCTGTCAACTAATATCAAAGTCATAATCTTCAATACGAATGTCAAGTCAGTTCTACTGTACGAAGCTGAAACGTGGAGAACTACCACAACCATCATCAAGAAGGTACAAGTATTTATCAATAGCTGTCTACGCATGATACTCAACATCCATTGGGCGGATACCATTAGCAACAGCCTTCTGTGAGAGAGAACAAACCAGCCCCCAACTAAAGAGGAAATTAGGAAAAGACGATGGAAATGGATAGAACATACATTGAGGAAATCATCAAACTGCATTACGAGACAAGCGCTAACTTGGAATCCTGAAGGGAAGCGGAAAAGAGGAAGGCCAAAGAACACATTACGTCGGGAAATAGAAGCAGATATGAAAAGGATGAATAAGAACTGGAAAGAGCTGTAAAGGATTGCCAAAGACAACGTTGGATAGAGAATGCTGGTGAGCGGTCTATGCTCCTTCACCAGGAGTAACAGACGTAAGTAAGTAAGTAAGTAAATAGTCAAGCAGCCATAAATATTGTACAACAAGCAAGTGTCATTTTTTTCTTTTCAATTATATTCCATTTTAATGGCGTCATTACTATAAAAAATTAAACATCAAAATGTAATTTATTGTATAGTAATTTGTCTAAACCAACACGAAACGTGAATAGATTAAAACTGTGATTTATTCACAACTTAATCATTAACCAGTTTAGTGTGTTTTTGTGTAAAATTGTCTCAGAACTAATAATTCGTGTTTAGTGTACATGTCTGCAAACAGACTAAATCTGTTACATGAATACCAATGGGAACAAACGAATGTCTTTGATAACAAATTACAGAACCACTTAGTAAAATTTAACATCCATATAGTAAATCGTTAATTTGCATACTACCATTCCATCATATCAAACAAGACTGTTCCTGTTGTAAACATCAATCGATTGTCGGTACTTTCATTGTTTATGAGTTTCCATATAAATTCCATTGTGTTCTCGCTCTTTCTTTCTTGATTGTTCTCCATCTTCTGATGCCAGACATTCTGTTCACGACTCACGTCATATACTACTTATGTCTACATATCAGTAGCATACACCACAATACTATTTTAAATTGAAAATGCCTTAAAATCTTTTTAACTTTTCAACTGACATACAAACTTTGGATGTATACTTCTAAGGAATCTCATACTAGGATGAATGATGTGTACAGTGATTGCATGTTTCTAATGATCCCCTAAACTAATATTAGACCGTTAGATAAACTCTGAAATTGAATATATAGTATATGAAATGAATGAGACAAAATTTTAGAGCTTTTCAGTTATTTCAATAGTTGAAATCATGAATCAATTGAAGCTAGACCACCATGGAAAACCTAAAAGCACTGGACGGCCGTTTCGTCCTAGTATGGGACTCCTCAGCAGTGCGCATCCACGATCCCGCACCAAAGGGATTCGAACCCAGGACCTATCAGTCTCGCGCCAGGCGCTTAACCAACTAGACCACTGAGCTGACCGGCATCCAGCAGTGTTAATGTCTAACTTCAACTAATCCACGAAGTTGCGCCACCGTACACCATTGTCTTCAGTGAGCTGATATCTCACAACAGACCTGGTTGAACTCCACTGGTCACGGTTTCTCACTAGAACTCCAGGAGTATCTCTCGAAGTCAGTCACTAGTGAGCAGATGATTATTACTAGAATGGGTTTTGTGGAGAACTGGTAATTTGAATAGTTGAAATCATGAATCAATTGAAGCTAGACCACCATGGAAAACCTGGAAGCACTGGACGGCCGTTTCGTCCTAGTACGGGACTCCTCAGCAGTGCGCATCCACGATCCCGCACCCCGCGGGATTCGAACCCAGGACCTATCAGTCTCGCGCCAGGCGCTTAACCAACTAGACCACTGAGCCGGCATCCAACGGTGTTATTGTTAGTTCAATTCAAATTCTTTGATTACTTAAAACTCTCTTTTTTTTCAATTGGTATTAATTACTTATAGTCTTTGCTTATTCAATGGAACAAGTTAATGATGTTACTTCTGATACAAATCTTATTCCATTTTGGAATAGACATTATTTCTGAGATGGTGGAGAAGATTTGTAGCTTAGCTGGATGATTTCGATGGAGTATTGTTCTCTAAACTGGATGGTTCTGGTTGTAGAACTTTCAGCACAAACTTCACTTATATCTGATGTTTATGCTGATGATGATATCGTTCAGAAGAACGATGAAATCTCCACGACAAAACGATTCAGCTCAGAGAACAAAACTCCATCAAAAAGACATTATTTCTATAATGTATTGTTAATATTGTTTTGGATGAAGCTAAAGGTTAATGGGTATAGATGTGTTAGAAGTTAAAAGAATTGAAGTATAACTACATTTTCAAATCGTTCCACAAACATTATTTGAATGATAGAGATGATGAATAATACTGAATATAAGAAAGATGCATAAATGATTGAACATTTCATACTCATAATTCTCATGATTATAATAGTGAAAAGTATGAGAATACAAATGATGTATCTTCATATGTAAGTGATTCTAACATTGTTTAGTTCAAAGTCAAGTAACAAATTTATTACTTACTTACGCCTGTTAATCCCAATGGAACATAGACCGCCGACCAGCATTCTCTAACCAACCCACTCTGTCCTCGACCTACTTTTCTAGTTCCATTCAATTCTTGTTCATTTTTCTCATGTCTGATTCCATTCAACGGAGTGATGTGTTCTTTGGTATTCCTCTTCTCCTCATTTGGCATTGAGGATTCCAAGTCATGGGGGATTGTCTTCTGACGCAGTTCGGTGCTTTCCTCAATGTGTGTTCTATTCACTTCCAGCGCTTCATCCTGGTTTCTTCCTACACTGACATCTGATTTGTCCCCTCCCACAGTAGGTTGTTGCTAATAGTGTCTGGCCAACGAATCCGAAGTATTTTGCATAGCATAGACAACTGTTAATAAACACCTGTATCTTCTGGATGATGACTTTCGTAATTCTCCAAGTTTCCTCCCCATACAGTAGGGCTGTCTTAACATTTGTATTGAAAATTCTGACTTTTGTTTTGGTCGACAGACAGTTGTTTTGAGTTCCAGATGTTGTTTAGTTGTAAATATGTTGCTCTTGCTTTCCCGATCCGTGCCTTCACATCTGCATCAGATCCACTGTGTTCATCGATGATGCTGCCCAAATATGTAAAGGTTTGTACATCTTCCAAATCTTCTCCGTCAATTGTGATTGGATTGGTGCATGCTGTGTTGTATCGGAGAATCTTGCTTTTCCCTTTGTGTATGTTGAACCTTAGTGTTGCTGCTACACTGGTTGTCTTCTCCTGCATTTGTTGTTGCGTTTGCGATGAGAAGAGCCTGATCATCTGCGAAGTTCAGATTGTCCAACTGCATCGTAGCTGTTCACTGCATCTCCTACTTCCCACCAAATATTGACGTCTTTACAGCCCAGTCGATCACCAGGATAAACAGAAAGGGTGAGAGTAAGAAACCTTGCGTAACACCAGTGTTTACTTCGAAGGTGTTTGTCAACTGTCCTCCATGAACGATTTTGCAGTTGAATCCATTATAGGAATTCCGTATGATATTGACTATCTTCTCAGGCACGCCGTAGTGTCGAAGAAGCTTCCATAATGTTGTTCTGTCTACGCTGTCAAATGCTTTTTTATAGTCAATAAAGTTGATGTAGAGCGATGAATTCCTTTCAATTGATTGTTCCACAATGATCCGTAGAGTTGCGATTTGGTCTAACAAATTTAAAGGTGGTCACAATTTACAAGCGGTTTAAGTTACGGTAAGAGTTAAGAAGGAGTCTATACATAGATACAAAATGACTCATTGATTACTATTCGTTAAAAATATACAAACTAATTTATACAATAATAGCTCCCTACATTTCAGATGACTCCTTTTTGCCTCATCCTTATACTGATAATTCGGATCTTATGTAAGCAGATCATTTAGTCAAAAGCTACATTAAAGAAATAATCTAATCAAAGCATTTATTGTCTAGCTACTGTTATTTCGCTAGTGTTATAACTTTTGAATCGAATCTTGACTTTTCTTTTCATCATATCACCTCCCCTTCTTTTTTTTTGTTGAAGACTCTATGTTGAGATCGATCTTTCATTTTTATGACTTCATCCTCCCCCACGAAACAGTGTTAGGTCCTCATATACCCAAGCTACCATTAATTTGACTTTATTTAGATCGTATTTGTCACATTGAACAGAGAATTTACTAAAGGTGATTAAATGGTGAGGATCAACGTCGCTTGATATGAGGTCATCAAAGTTTGATTCTTCTAAAACATTGTCATCAGATTTCATGAAAATCTTATTAGTAGATAGTCGATCACTAGAATAATCAGCATCTATCAAAATTTTATTAGGTTCTTAATTATCGTTTGATGCATCCAACAAATTTTTCTCATTTTTTTTAAGGAACTTGATCTAAAGCATATGAGTCATTAAGATAACTCATATTTGATAAAACACCTAGAAACCTCCAATGAGTGGATTCATCAAGAACTTTTGTTCTGGAATGATGAGCTCCATTTGATGCAACTGTCTTCATTATACTCCTTGATTCATTTTCTGTCTCTTTGTGGGCGGGTACTGCAATAAGTTCATGAGCAATTAATAAGACACGGTCTCTCTGTGAGCTGAACAGGTCAGTGTTAGAACATGGTGTTTCGGGGGCAATGGGATTTGAACCCACGACAGGGCATTTCTCTGAAATGGACATTTCTGGATCACTGGATGGATCATCAATGACTGTCATTGTTTCGCTTATATTACTGCTCGTCAAGGATTCATAGAGGCTTTTATGAATACATTCATATGTTCTGCAGTCATTTTCCAGCTCGGTATACAAATTAGAAAATTAATTTATCAACTTCTGTTACATTTCCAAAATATGAATAATTTAGTAGCCATGCACGTAAATTGTTTAAAACATTCAACTGACTATTTTTTGAAACGCTGCTAACGTCGCTCAAACAGTAACTGTAATTAATCGAAAGAGATAGACATTTTCTGAATCAGCATGATAATAAGAAATGACTGTATGATTAATTAATAACCAATATCTTCCAAGGACATTGATGACAGATCCTGGATGCTGATTGCTCGAAATAATTAGATTGAATTTCATTCAATTACAGGCTGACGTTTAAGATTAAGGCTTCAGAATTGATTTTTTTTCTACTCCGTTGTCAATTGTTAAACACTTGTGATTGAGATCATGAATCGACTGATGTTAGACTACCGTTGGAAACCTGGAAGCACTGGACGGCCGTTTCGTCCTAGTATGGGACTCCTCAGCAGTGCGCATCCACGATCCCGCTCGCGGGGTTCGAACCCAGGGCCTTCAGTCTCGCGCGCGAACGCTTAACCTACTCGACCACTGAGCCGGCATCCAATGGTGTTAGTGTCTAACATCAACCAATCCACGAAATTGCGCGACCATCTTCCATTGTACTGAGGTAGATACCTGTCTCTACCCGACACGGATTAGCTCCACTGGTCACGGCTTCTCACTAGAACTGCGAGAATTCCCTCACGAAGCTAGTCACTAGTGAGCACATGTTAATTATCAGTATTGGGGTTGTGGAGTGCTTCCAGGTTTCCAACGGTAGTCTAACATCAGTCGATTCATGATCTCAATCAAAAGCTTAATAATCTCCACAACCCCAATACTGATAATTAAACACTTGTGTCTGGAATCTTGACTTTTCTTTTCATCATATCAGATAAATTTATAAAACTGATAGAAAATTACTTTTATCAGAAGGGATTGTGTGAAGATTTTAGAAATTCCACTGGTTGAAATCATGAATCCATTGAAGCTAGACCGACATGGAAAACCTGGAAGCCCTGTTGAGGAGTCCCATACTAGGACGAAACGGCCGTCCAGTACTTCCAGGTTTTCCATGGTGGTCTAGCTTCAATGGATTCATCATTTCAACCAGAAATGAATTTATCAAATATCCTTCATTGTTTCATACTGTTCATTCACTTCAGATACCAACAGAATTTGGAAATAATGGAGGGCACCTAAGTATTACAGATGGTTATGATTATGCTACATATAATGCAAGTGAGATTTACACCATTTTGTTTAAAATAATGGAAACTACTTAATTCATAATATAAACTACTGTTTATTTCAAAGTAGATATTGAATATTTCTAATTCATTCAATGAATATTCAGTTACTGATAATGAATCTTTTACCATGTGAAGAACAATTTCAACCACTTAGGTTTTCACAGTAGTGTTGTGGTAAACAGAATACGAGTGGGGAACAATCAAATGTATATGACAACTAATTACAGCACTTATTTATAAAATCTAACAATCATATAGTAAATCACTAATTTGCAAAATATCGATCCATCATATCGAACTGGACTGTTCCTGTTGCAAACATCAATAGATTGTCTGATATTTCATTTTTCATGCGTTTTCATACAAATTCCATTGTGCTTCTGCTCTTCCTTTCTTAATCTTTCTCCATCTGCTGCCAGTCATTACGTTTTTAACTCGCGTCATATACTACTTATATCAATATAAGTAGCGCCCCTAAATGCCCTGGTATGGCCGAGAGTGGGGAGAGTCCGCTCTCCCGCTCCAAATGCTCTCAAATGGACACGCGTATACAGCCACTGCCCAGGGAAGTCCTACTCACTACATTCTCGTTGAGGGAGTGTTGTTTACGAAAATGAGAGGATGAAAAGTGTATGTCCGGCGCTTTAACCGGATCCCAAACTAATGGTGCACATGGGCCAACTCCAGTATCCTGAGGGAACAAATGGCGTATGAACCAAGTGTTGGTCACCGGCTACCATGGGACTGTATCTTCTTACGATACTCCACTGCCTTGTGGATCAGATCTTCAGGTCAAAGGCTCGGGGTGTGGCCCCGTAAGAAAACCACCTGCTTCGGTTTGGGCACCCGGTCAGTATCACAGCCCACACACAAATTAAATGAGATTTGTGTGGAGCATATATATTCGGTGCCCACTTGTACCTATATCTATGTGTTAAAACAAAAAAATAAAAAATATATAATTAGCGCGCACCACAGTGTATTTATAGGGATGAGATAGCTCGAATAGAAACTGCCTATAACACTAATCCATTCATTATATGCAATTATATTTGTATGATATAGAATAACTATTATTTACAATGTTTGTCAAGTTTCTTATAAGGTTTGAATAATAAAAATGTTCTTGATATTCTGTAGCAAAGATAATGCATATACATTTTGGACAAAAAACAGTGTATGACGTTTTCGAAGGGTAATACTGAAGAGAACTGTGTGTGATAATCTAGATATATAGTTAGATATGGAAAATGTATGTGTCTATAGAAGGATAGATAAAAAGGATTGTATCACAAAAACAATGGATTCGAGAATAAATAACAAATAAGGGGTTACGTACTAATCATTACTTATACTTTCACTACCTCTACCACTACGGAATTTGAATCGATAACTGAATCTCTGTGCTAATGTGGTATGGTATGCAACTCGAAATGATGTACGTACGTACGTACGTACGAAATTCTACGTTGTTACTGACTGATTGACTACGTACTAATCAAGAGATAAGGAAGAACAGAATTTATAGGTCAGTTAATAGTCCAATTGATACACAAATATGAAGAAAACCGACAAACAACAAAAGTCATAGTAATAATAAACTGATTACAGTTTAAAATGAAAAACAGTAATTTGAAGAAAATAATATCGATAATAATGAAATAAAAGTGCAGAAAAACAACAAAAACAACAACAATAACAACAAAAAGGCACACAAACACAGAAACATATCCATTCAGAAGGGAATTACGGCTAAGGAAAGATGAGAGGTTGAACAAATCGTTTCTGCGCGAAAAATTCAGGCTTGAGTTTATGGATTGTCAATACCTCACTTACTTACTTACTTACTTACTTACTTACGCCTGTTACTCCTCGTGAAGGAGCATAGGCCGCTCACCAGAATTCTCCATCCAACCCTGTCCTGGGCAATCCTTTCAAGCTCTTTCCAGTTCTTATTCATCTTTTTCATATCTGCTTCTATTTCCCGACGTAATGTGTTCTTTGGCCTTCCTCTTTTCCGCTTCCCTTCAGGATTACAAGTTAGCGCTTGTTGTCAATACCTCAGCAGTACATAAAATATTGATTCGACATCCCCTTCATTTCAATTCCTTTGACTCTATAGATTACTTTAAAAGAAGAGTCCTTTGAAGTGATCTGTCCACAGTTAATTAAGTGCTCCTATATTGTATTTGTGGAATAATCTTAGCGATTGAAATTTAAAATAACAATTCCAACGTTTCATCCATCTAAACTTCTTCTTCTTCAGGGTAATGACTTCTCTATACTCGGCAACCAATGTCTTTCAGAATTGTTTTTAGATTTAAAACCATGTTTTTTTTTTCTTTCTTTCTTTCTTTATTTATCACATAGCTGGACTATACATCATTAAAACTTCATATAGTAGTATTAAAACTCCAAAAACGATGATAAGATCTGGAACGTTGGTTGAACTCACTCCAAATAAAAGTAAATAAATTGAAATTTTTTTTTAATAGTATGTATTAGAGTAGTATTTGAAAAGGATCTTACCATGGAAAACCCTTTCTGATACGAATCAACATATGCTCACTAGTAACTGACTTCAAGAGGTTTATCTTGAAGTTCTAATGACAAGTAGTGACCAGTGAAGTTTAATCGGGTTAGTTATGAAATAGTAACTCACTGATGACAATGTTGAATGTGTCGTTCAATTTCGTGGATCAGTTGAAGTTAAATATTAACACCATTGGATGCCAGCCGGATCAGTAGTCTAGTTGGTTAAGCACCTGTCGCGAGATTGATAGGTTCTGGGTTCGAATCTCGCTGAGAGGGCGGGTGGGATCGTGGATCCACACTGCCACTGAGGAGTCCCATATTAGGATGAAACGGCCGTCCAATTTTTTCAGGTTTTCAATGGTGGTTTAACATCAATTGACTCATGATTTCAACGAGTGAATGTACTACAATCTCCACAAAACCCCTTCTGATACAAAAAGTATTGGTCCTTTAACATTGTAACATTTCATTCAAATAGTTTATCAAAATGGTTACTAAGCAATTTATTGTACATGTAACTATCAATTATATAAACAATATTCGGGTTGAAAAGTCTTAAGGTAGTTAAGAGTTTTATAATTATTTCAATGATAATCCATTACCTTAATAACCGGTAATCTACAATGTTCTTGCAATAAATATTACTTTAGGGTTCTTATTTTTTTTATTTTTAACACATAGATATCGGTACAAGAAGGCACCAAATACATATGCGCCACACAGATCTCAATTGATTTATGTGAGGGCTGTGATACTGCACGGGTGCCCAAACCGAAACAGGAGGTTTTCTTAGGGGACCACACCCCGAGGCTTCGACCTGAACGTCTGACCCACAAGGCAGTGGAGCATCGTAAGGAGATGCAGTCCCATGATAGCCGGTGACCAACACTTGGTTCATACGCCATTTGTTCCCGCAGGATGCTGGAGTTAGCCCATGTGCACCATTGATTTGCGATCCGGTTATAGCGCCGGACATTCGCTTTTCGTCCTCTCATTTTCGTAAAGAACACCCCCGCCACGAGAATGCAGTGAGTAGGACTTCCCTGGCAGAGGCTATATACGCATGGCCATGTGAGAGCATTTGGAGAGGGAGAGCGGACTCTCCCCACTCTCGGCCATACCAGGGCATTTGGAGGCTCTTTAGGGTTACCTAGAAGAAACAAAAAAAACTAATTTCAGTGACATGAAATAATTTACCTTCATAATACAGAACAAGATATTCACCAAAATAAACACTGTTAACATTGATCCTTTTAATCAGAGAAGGCTTTCTATGAATGTTATAGCGATTTAATAGTTAAGTTCATGAATCAATTGAAGTTAGACTACTATGGAAAACCTGAATACACTGAAATGACCATTTCGTCCTGATGTTGGTGTTCGTCCATAAACCCTCCTTAGAAGACTTAAATTCAGGACCGATCGGTTTCGTGCACGAACTCTAGTACGAAATAGCCTTCCACTGTTTTCATGTTTTCTATGGTGATCTAGAACCAGTTGACTCATGAACTTAATTATTGAATTAATTCTTTTAATATTTTTATTTATAACGATTCAATTACAGAATGAGTATCTTTGAACTACTCAAAAACAAATGAAGTTTTTGATATAATCAAAAAAGTAAATTATTACCATTTGTCATGAGATAATACGACCGGTCGTGTTAGTAGGATAAGTACAAAAACAATAAATTGGTTAATTCACTTGATATTGTTTTACTTGAATCTTCCCATTGATGTTTAGGACTGGGAATGGTTAGTCTCTTATTGACATATGTGCATACTGTGCGTATTGCCTCGATATTGCCTTAATTTACAAGCATTATAAGCAATGATAGATAGTGATTAGCAGTGGAATCCAGGACGTTCGTTTCATCCTATTTTGGACTCGTCAGTTGGATGTACCTGCATCTCAGACTTGTTGATGTTCACTCTGGGACTCATTGCTTACTACAAAAAGCTTGTGAATTAAGGCAATAAAGAGGCAATACGCATAGTATGCACATATACCAATAACAGACTGATCAATTACAGTCTTAAAAACTCAATGGAAAGATACAAGTCAAACAATATCAAGTGAATTGAAATTCATCCCATTGCACAAGCAAGTAGCTATCAAGATTCAGTAGTTGAGTCGATAACGTGATGGTGTTTGAAGCGGACGGTACTGCGTTCGAGTCCTGGAGTAAACATCAACAAGTCTGAGATGCAGGTACATCCAACTGACGAGTCCCAAATAGAACGAAACGCGCATCGTTCATTTCACTGCTAGCCAATATCCATATTTGCTTATAATGAATTGGTTAGTAGATTGTATATTTAATCAGTTCACTAGATAGATATCTGTGAGGGCTGTGATACTGACCGGGTGCCCAAATTGAAGCACGTGGTTTTCATAGTGGACTACACCCCGAGCCTTCGACCTGAAGATCTGATCCATGACAGCCGATGACCAACAATTGGTTTATACGTCATTTGTTTCTTCAGGATACTGGAGCCCATGTGCACCATTGATTTAGAATCCGGTTAAAGCACCGGACATTCACTTTTCATCCTCTCATTTTCGTGAACAACACTCCCGCCACGAGAAGGCAGTGAGTAGGACTTCCCTGGGCAGAGGCTATATACGCATGGCCATGTGAGAGCATTTGGAGCGGGAGAGCGGACTCTCCCCACTCTCGGGCGTACCAGAGCATTTGGGGGCATATATATATATACATAGAGAGAGAGAAAGAGAGAGAGAGAGGGCATTTGTGAAACGGATGTGTCGGATATTCATGGACACAAAATTCTATTTTTCATGAATGGATACCTATATCCTCATAAGTTATGTAATTAAAAAATTATTCAAAACATTTAATATTGATTTTATTTTGTTCTTCTCTAATGACTCCATTCATGTTTAATTATTCTATTCCCTCTTTGAAAGTTTGTTCAGAGCAACAACATTGTGAAACATGTATTAATGCATCAACTTTAAATGAAAAATGTTATTGGTGTCCAATTGTTAATAAATGTAGTCATGGATTTGATATACATCGGCCATTATGGATGTTAAAAAGTTGTTATATTAAAGTAAGTTTTTCTTTTCTATTTTTTATGAAAAAATGACTTGTATTTTATTGAATATTATTGTATTCCTAGAATGGGTTTTGTGGAGAATTGGTAATTTCAATAATTGAAATCATGAATCAATTGAAGCTAGACCACCACCATGGAAAACCTGGAAGCACTAGACGACTGTTTCGTCCTAGTATGGGACTCCTCAGCAGTGCGCATCTACGACCCCGTCTCTCAGGACTCAAACCCAGGACCTATCAGTCTCGCGCCAGGCGCTTAACCAACTGACTTCAAGAGATACTCCTGAAGTTCTAGTGAGAAGCCGTGACCAATGGAGTTCAACCAGGTCTGTTGTGAGATATCAGCTCATTGAAGACAATGGTGTACGGTGGCGCAACGTCGTGGATTGGTTGAAGTTAGACATTAACACCTTTCGATGCCGGTTAGCTCAGTGGTCTAGTTGGTTAAGCGCCTGGCGCCGAGACTGATAGGTCCTGGGTTCGAGTCCCTTTGGTGCGGGATCGTGGATGCGCACTGCTGAGGAGTCCCATACTGGGACGAAACGGCCGTCCAGTGCTTCCAGGTTTTCCATGGTGGTCTAGCTTCAATTGATTCATAATTTCAACTATTGAAATTATTGTATTCATCTTCATAAATCTACCTAACTGTTGAGATATTCAGAAAACTATCTCAAAAAATTATTCTGTTAAGTCGAATGTTCTCCTTAAACTTGAAATGGTATCATTTTCCCTATTGGTCAATATTTATTTCACGTGTCATTTCCCTATTGGTCAATATTTTTGTCACGTGTCATTTCCTTATTGGTCAATATTCATTTCACTTGTCGTCTCCCTATTGGTCAAATATTATACAAATTTGTATTTTCTATTTTATGGTACGATGTAGTCTGTTTGTTTGGTATATAAACAGTGTATGTTTGAAATATGTAATGATTTATATCGCAGAGTTTGGGATTGGTGTTCTGGACTCAACCTGTTAGATTAGACAAGGAAGCAAGACCAATCAGAACTGTAGGCTGTTCTTACCTGTTTCACGCGTCTTTAATCCGATCGATAATTCGCTGCCGTCTAATCGGCGGCGGTCACAACATATAACACTAACTTGTCAAGTAGTTGAAAGGAACAAGAACATAGAAATCGTTATTGAAGACGATATATAGGAACTTATATGCAATTGAATTTGTTCATATTTAATTCGGTTATGTCATTTTGTTAAGTTATCCATACAACAACAACAACAACTTGTCTATAGTATTGTATCTCTATTATTGTTGCAAATGTATAAACATGTATGCTTGAGCATTGTTTACTGCCGCCTACGAAATATATTGATCTTGCTAGCCTTACTATTAGTTGTTTAATTGATTCGATGATTCATTCATTTCTCTCTCTATATATGTACATTTTAATCCTGTACATATTTGACTCGCCAACTCACTCATTCACCTCTCTGCTTCGTGATCTGAGCTTCTCTTTATCTTCCGGTTTTCAACATCGTTGAAACTTATATAATACTGGTTACAAAGGTGAATGATTAACAAAGCACAGCCACTCAAGATGAATACACTGTTACATGGTAACAAAATAATAGATAAATCTACTATGTTTAAACACTGGAAAAATTAACACATGTCAAACTATAGTAGATTTACAGGATATTTTTTTATATTTTTTATTGAGGGAAAGATCAGTGTTTAGTCCATTTTATTTAAGAAACTTTGATAACGAAATATGAAAATGAAATTAATAAGAATCATTCAGTTTATTAGAGTAATACCTATTAAGCATTTACATAATTCTTGAATTTGTAAGATAAACTTCCGGTTTTTATTGATTGAGATCATGAACCGATTGATGTTAGACCATCATTGAAAACTTTGAAACACTGGACGGCCGTTTCGTCCTATTATAGGACTCCTCTGTGGTAGTACGCATCCACGATCCTGGTTTTTAAGCCGTGCATAAAGTATAGCTGATTACTGTGGGATGAAACGTATAATATAAGGAATAAATTTAAGAAGTTCTTATCACATCTAATAATATCTTCTTTTTTTTTTTTTCAGAACACTACAAATTGTCAAGTGTCAACCACTTCCATGTACACACAGGATCATGATCTAAGCAACATACAGACCACTGAGTATTATTCAAATAATTACAGTTTGACAAACTATGCAACAACAACAACAACTTCTGAACTAACAACAACAGATTCATTAAACTCTAAAATGAAAAAAAATGGATTACAAACTAACCAACTTTCATCATTTATTTGGAATGATAGAAACTTAGACAAAAGTGGTATCAATCTCCCTTTATATTCATTCATTTTAATGCCAACTGGATTAGCGGTGCTTTTTCTAACTCTAATATGTACTCTATGGTTATGTATATATAAAAGATCAAAAGTATGTTATTGTCTAATGGAAGAAGTTGAATTTTTTGTTTTTAAAGCATACCATTTTATGTCTTTGGACATAATCTATTCAAATGAATTAAAGAGACCAAGAACAAAGGGTTGGTGTATAAACCTTTGTTCTTACTCTCATTGAAATCATAAAGGGAACTATGTGCATGAAATTTCTTAAAATGTATCTCCCTGCACAGTCACTTAAGTCACTGAATCACCTGGTGACAATACGCTGAAGAATATTGAAAGAAATAACTTGATTTAAGTTTTTTGATGAATGTCTCAAGTCATGCTGTTTCCCCATGTCAATTCTTAAAATGTTTGTTCTCATGTAAACTTCCACCTTCTCTTAAAAAAACCTTCAATGTATCACAAAATCGAATACTACACTAACCTTTGTTCTTGTTCTCTTTAAAATAATAAACGGAACTATATGCATAAAATGAATAATTATTAGAGACACGTTCAGTATAGATATCATTTCAATATACTTGTTGTATTTATTACCATACCCTAAATCATTTCTAATTCTTATGAAGGTAATGATTAGAAGTAGGTACTTTTTAATCGCTTGCCCCTAAATACCCTGGTACGGCCGAGAGTGGAGCGAGTTCGCTCTTCCTCTCGAAATGCTCTCACATGGCCACGCGTACATAGCGTCTGCCCAGGGAAGTCCTACTCACTGCCTTCTCGCATCACGGGTGTTCTTTACAAAAATGAGAGGACGAAACACAAATGTCCAGCGCTTTAACCGGATCGCAAATCAATGGTGCACATGGGCTAACTCCAGCATCCTGCGGGAACAAATGGCGTATGAACCAAGTGTTGGTCACCGGCTATCATGGGACTGCATCTCCTTACGATGCTCCACTGCCTTGTGGGTCAGACGTTCAGGTCAAAGGCTCGGGGTGTGTCCCCCTAAGAAAACCACCTGTTTCGGTCTGGGCACCCGGTCAGTATCACAGCCCTCACACAAAACCATTGAGATTCGTGTGGCGCATATGTACTTGGTGCCTCCTTGTACCAATACCTGTGTGTTAAAATAAATAAATAAATAAAGGTACTTTTTAATTCAGAATCTCGATTTTTTTTATTTAATTGTGATCTACGATCTAATTGATCATTACAACTCTCCAGAAGATAAAGATAAAGATTCAGTCGAAAGGTGTAATTTAATTATTCTCATTCAGACTACTTATAAATGATGTATAGTTATGTATAATCAAATTGATGAACATAAATAACATACAGATGATAATCTTGTGTTGCTTCATACTCTTGAATAACGTACACAGTTGTAGTGATAAATAGTTTCCTTCATAATGTCTTGAATATAATCTACAAAAAAAAACAACGTTTCTGTATAGAGTCAAAATAAGAATAAAACATTCAGTAAATCAAATGACTTATCAACTGATTGTGAATGATCCAGGAATTATTTCAGATTTTATCACAAAACAGGAGATAATAATAAGAAGATAAGGCTTGGAAATATGAAAATATTTGTTAGTGGAGAGAAGAATACTTACTTAATTACGCCTGTGACTCCTAATGGAGCATAGACCGCCGACCAACATTCTTCAACCCACTCTGTCCTCGACCTACTTTTCTAGTTCCATTCAATTCTTGTTCATTTTTCTCATGTCTGATTCCATTTCCCGGAGTAATGTGTTCTTTGGTCTTTCTCTTCTCCTCATTTGGCATTGAGGATTCCAAGTCATGGGGGATTGTCTTGTGACGCAGTTCGGTGCTTTCCTCAATGTGTGTTCTACCCACTTTCAGCGCTTCTTTCTGATTTCTTCCTCCAGTGACATCTGATCTGTTCTCTCCCACAGTAGGTTGTTGCTAATAGTGTCTGGCCAACGAATCCGAAGTATTTTGCATAGCATAGACAACTGTTAATAAACACTTGTATCTTCTGGATGATGACTTTCGTAATTCTCCAGGTTTCCTCCCCATACAGTAAAGCTGTCTTGACATTTGTATTGAAAAATGCTGACTTTTGTGTTGGTCGACAGACAGTTGTTTTGAGTTCCAGATGTTGTTCAGTTGTAAATATGCTGCTCTTGCTTTACTGATTCGCACCTTCACATCTTCATCAGATCCACGAACAGAAGAATACCGATATTCTTTTTTGCGGGAAAAATTCTCAACGCCCGATAGATTATACATTTTTAATTACCATATATTATTCTAAAATATTAAACAAATCGTTTCATTAGGGAATATTGGCACCCCTTACACTCTTTATAAACTTGTATTAAACTAACTTATCTTCAGTTACTTAAATGGGTTCCATATAAGTTTATTAGTTGTTTGTTTTTGATCATATTGTTTAAGTACATTTACCATAAGCAGATGTTAAACTTATGAAATGTGTCCTTGGAGATATCTTTCAATGTCAACACTAAGCTCCATCTTAAGTCAAAGTATAACATGCGAATTAGTGATAATATCTCTCGTAAAATGGGTTCCATTTTACTGTATAAATATTAGTTAGTCTCTTTGATTAGCTTAATATAATCTTTCTGTATAGATTCTCAAAACATATCTTATACCAGTTCAGTTTCAAAATAGTTTATTCTACAATTAAGCTCGACTAATTATTGTTGAATATAACTGATCTTGATTATCATAATCATCTTTGAATAAAGCTTTGATATTCTCCAATAAAAAGATCAATTAATTATTATATTCTCTTAAATATATGTTCATTAAATCCTAATGATAGTAAAAATTTCACGGGTTGAAATCATGAGTCAACTGAAGCTAGATCACCATGGAAAACCTGGAAGCACTGGACGACCGTTTCGTCCTAGTATGGGACTCCTCAGCAGTGCGCATCCACGATCCCACCCTCTACGGGATTCGAACCCAGGATCTATCAGTCTCACTCCAGACGCTTAACCAACTAGACCACTGAGCTGACCGGCATCCAACAGTGTTAATGTCTAACTTCAACCAATCCACGACGTTGTGCCACCGTACACCATTGTCTTCAGTGAGCTGATATCTCATAACAGACCTGGTTGAACTCCACTGGTGACGGCTTCTCACTAGAATTAGTTGAAGTTAGACATTAACACCGTTGGATGCCGGCCAGCTCAGTGGTCTAGTTAGTTAAGCGCCTGGCGCGAGACTGATAGGTCCTGGGTTTGAGTCCTGAGAGACGGGATCGTGGATGCGCACTGCTGAGGAGTCCCATACTAGGACGTAACGGCCGTTCAGTGCTTTTAGGTTTTCCATGGTGGTGGTCTAGCTTCAATTGACTCATGATTTCAACCAGTGAAATTTCTAAACTCTCCACACACAATTCCTTCTTATAATAGTAGCAATAGCTTTAACTTTTAATAATCATAATAGTTTTACCGGAACTCATTTTTATTTAATCTAAGATTTCAGTATTGAAGTAGAGTTGAAGATAAAATCAATAATATGAAGATAATCAGTAAAATGGTTTTATAAATATCAATAGTATTTCAATAGTTGAGTTCTTGAGTTAATTAATGTTAAACCATTATAGAATATTTGGAACTATTGGATAGGGCATTTCATCTTGATGTAGAACTCTTCAGTCGTGTATATCCATAATGGAAATGGATCTTTGATTAAATCAATTTATTTCATATTAAATATTAATTGACCTATATAGTTCTATTTATTTAGTTGATTATGAACATTCATCTTGATTCTTTATTTTCATTGAATTACAGAAGAAAAATAAAAAAGAGAAAAATTCAATACACATAAATCAATAAATTGTATCATCTCTAATCAATTATCAAGATAAACATACTAATCTTATTGATTTTATTTTAATTTAAAAGAATTTATAATCACTTTTTTCTTTTTTGATTTATCATAAATATAGTTTGTTTCTTTATCAATGATGTTATTGATTTAAGAAAAAAGAGCCCTCAAATATCCCGGTATGGCCGAGAGTAGGGAGAGTCCGCTCTCCTTGTCGAAATGCTCTCACATGGCCACATGTATACAACCACTGCCCAGGGAAGTTTTACTCATTACCTTTCATGTGGCGGGAATGTTGTTTATGAAAATGACTGGATGGAAAAGCGAATATCCGGCGCTTGAACCAGATCTCAAATCAATGGTGCACATGGGCTAGTTCCAATATTCTAAAGGAACAAATAGCGTATGAAGTAATTGATGGTCACTGGCTACCATGGGACTGACTGCATCTCCTTACGATGTTCTACTGTCTTGTGAATCAGATCTTCAGGTCAAAGGTTCGGGGTGTGGTCCTCTAAGAAAATCACCTGCTTACGTTTGGGCACCTGAGCAGTATCACAATTTTCACACAAATTAAATGAGATTTGTATGGCACATATGTATTTGATGCCTGTTAGCTAGTTATCCTATAAGCTGATGATCTATTCAAGATGTCATTTTATATGATCACGGTAAAATACCAGATTAGTTTAAGTAGTAACACGATGAATGGTCGTATAAAAAGAATACACACAACAACAAAAAATATGATTCAATAGGGAAATATGGATTTGTCCTATAAACTATTTTTAAACCAATTAAGAAAGATAGGAGTTAAGGAAAAATAAAAAGTAAACGTACATTATGTGTGCATGTTACATGAATTCTTGAACTACATATAGATTATTATCAGAAGGGGTTTTGTGGAGAGTGTAGTGATTTCAACGATTAAGTTCATGAGTCAGTTGAAGCTTAAACACCATGGGAAACCTGGAAGCACTGGACGGCAGTTTCGTCCTATTACGGGACTCCGCAGTGGCAGTGCGCATCCACGACCTCGCTCCCTGCGAGATTCGAACCCAGGACCTACTGGTTTCGCGCGCGAGCACTTAACCACTAGACCACTGAGCCGGCATCCAATGGTGTTCATGTCTAACTTCAACTAATCCACAAAATTGAGTGACATATCCACCATTGTCTTCACTGAGTTACTACATCACAACAGACCTGGTTGAACTCCACTGGTCACTACTTCTCACTAGAACTCCAGGATATACCTCTTGAAGCCAGTCACTAATGAGCATATGTTGATTATTATCAGATTACATTGCTCTCACAGAACCCTCCTTCAAGCTCATCTATAAAGTCAAACAAAATAATGTAAGGAAAATATTTGTTAAGAATTTACTTACCATAGAAGCTTTAGTAGTTGAACGATTTCAGACTAGTCTCTTTGTACAAAAACAATCTGTTCAGTCCTAGATTTTATCGTCGGTTTAACCCCTTCCGTTATTACTCATTTCTTATTTCCATATAATCATTAATTAGCTTATTGTTTATACTTGAATGAAATGTTCATCTATTTTATTGAAGATTTATGTATGCTAATTAACTATAAGTATCGTTGTACAGCTTTAGTAAATGACATTGTTGAAATGAAACTTTTCTTTGATGGATCTATATTTCTTTAGTAGATCATTGACTATAACAATGTTATCAGTAATATGCAAGGTAACCAAATTAGTTATTGATAAGGTATTTTCTTTAAGAAACTAATATCTACGTCATAAGCATGTAAATAACATAAGGATATTATTAAATTTCATGGTTGACATCATGAACTGATCTTAATTAGATAGTCGACAGTGGAAACCAAGAAGTGCTGTATAACTGTTTTACCCTCGTATAGAACACCTTACTAGTATGTATTCATGATCTCACTGGGAATCGAACACAAGGCTTTAACCTTTAGATCACAGAATCTTTTTTCAATGTTTTATACCTACATCTAAACTAAATCACTTAACAACATTCCATAATCATCTTCAAATAACATTAGTGAGTAACTGACTCACTCCATTGGTCATAGCTGATTATACTGACTTATTAGATTTGACATAACCTTTGATATGTTTCACTAAATATAAAAGGAGAAAATAACAAAAGTTCTTCTAGAAATTCATTATATTCATGAAAATCACATATAAGTGATATGCTTTATTGATTCCAAATAAAAATGCTAAAATAAATTATGATAGAATTTCAGTAAACAATTAGTTACCATGTAATAAATATATAAGAGAAAAATAATGAAAATAATTAAAAGAAATAACAAAAAAAAGAAAAAGAAAAAGAAAAAGAAAATACCAAAACACAACTACAAAAAAAAGAAAAGTAAAGAGAGAAGAGAAGAGTAGAGAAGAAAACAAAAGAAACAAATAACCACATACATTGTTAAGGAATAATAAAAGTTTTTTTTCTTTTTTTTTTCTTTTTCTTCTTCTTGAGAAAAATGCTTGTTTATGAAATAATACCTTAGACCAGATACAACAATAGAAAAGAATGAAACAAGTAATAAACAACAAAAAAAAACAAAAAGTAAAAAGTGGAAATAATACAAAGTACAAAAAAAATATAACATTCCAATAAATCAATAAAAGTAAAATACAAAAAATCAATCCATTTGAGTATGTCACACACACACACACACAAAAAAATATGAATCATTCTCCAATTTATGTTTTTTTTTTCTTTCTTTTTTCTTTCTTTTATTTTGAAAACCGTTTAACAGAAAAAGTTAAAATAGAAATTCACTTCCCAGTGATGAAAACAAAAACAAAAACAACAACAGTAACAAGAAGAAACAATATTTAAATTATTGATTTTCTCTCTCTCTCTCTCTCTGTCCCTGTCTCTGTCTCTGTCTTTGTCTCTATGGTGATATGTTTATGGGGTTTTTTTTTAAAAATCTTAATGATATTAAAATATTACACAGTTATGACTAATAAAAATACAAGTTTGTAATTATCATTCTTAAATAGTCATCATAGAATGTTAATGATGTAAAGTAATTCAGATTAAAAAAACTATCATAACATTCTTCTATAGGATCGAATTATTGTAGATATGTATGTATGTATGTATGTATGTGTGTGTGTGTATGTATGTATGTATGTATGTATGTATGTTTATATGGGTAAAATACAAACAAGAACTGTTATTATTGAACAATAAAAGAAATTTTCTTTATGATATGTATAGTATAGATTAATGAATTTTGGCACAGCCATCATAATGAGAATACATAACCATTTGTTTTGTTTTATTGGACAGTTAATAAAATGTGTTTCGGTAGTGTACCAATTGTACCAATATGAAGAAATCATTTATTGAATTTAGAAATTAACCTAAAATAAAGAATGTCTATTGAGTTTAAAAGGATGATTAGATATGATAATTGAATATGGCGGCCTGTTTGAATATCTGAGCTACCTGTTCTTCCCATCTAGATATTTCGTCAAGTTATCTGTTTTCTTGTTTGTTTTAACACACTATTATGTCTATTGAACTCACAACCTATTCACAGGCGCGTTTACGAAAAGTTTACAATCTTTCGCTGTACGGATTACAAAAAGGTACAACCAGCAACATCATGGTGGTTTGCAATATGCATTGAAACGAATGAACATTATTGAGATGTCCATTATCGAACTCCTAACATCTAACTGGCCATCACTCACGATCCTGACGATCCTGAGGATCGATCAAGATATAAGAACAAGAAACTTGTTGAAATACTTTATGCTGAGAATTCAATAGTGTACCAAAAATATAATGTTGAATAAAGCTTATAATAATAATAATAATAATAATAATACTATAATTATTTCCTTGTTGAAATCTCTGGATAGTTGTTTAGAATTGATCAATATATTTGAAGTATATAATATCTTAGAAGAAAGTTATTGATGTCCTTTGTGTTGTAATATTTATCAGATAATTACTTCTTCAGTAATGGTGTAATGAATAAGAACACTAGTGGGGACAATCGAATGTACTTGACAACAAATTACAGAACTACTTAGTAAAATCCAACAACCATCTATTAAATCGTTAATTTGTAAATTGTTCATCAATTGTCTTAAATGACTCAGAATCCCTTTGTTCTTGTATTATCATACAAATTGCATTCTGTCTTCATTTTTTATTGTTTGATCTTCTCGTCTCTCTGCTGCCAGACATTCTGTTCAGTACTCACGTCATATACTACTTATGTCTACATATAAGTAGCACACACCACAATGGTATATGTTCCCATCCAATAGAAGACCCTATCTATCTAACTTGATATTTACTAATATCACTTTGATATGGCACACTGTTATGGTCTTCATTCAACCCATGATTAAATAGGATTTAAAGAAGATTATCATTATCTATCAAGGAAGTACTTAAACCTTAATACCTGATGATTCAAATAACAATGTATATCATGAAAATCTCTGAGATATACATACACGTGAACGGTAGGTTATGAGGAAAACGTAGATAAATTACCGCAATTGAGTCATTCAGTAAGAGATTATTATCTTGGGTTACATTATGAGGCATTGAGTTGGCAAAAAAAGAGAATATTATCAGAATGGGGATTTGTGAAGAATGTAGCAATTTTAACATTTGAATTCATGAGTCAATATAAGTTAGAACACTATTGTAAACCTGGAAGCATTAAGCGGGTTCTTTATCCTAGTATGAGACTCGGCGAGAGGTCAACACCAGTAGAGTTCGATATGTGTCAAATGGAGACAGTCATCTATCTCAGACAATGGATGAACGGTTGCTCAAGATCATGGCTTGATGCCATTGGATGACGGCTTAGTGGCCTAGAGGTTAAGTATTGGCACGCAAGACCGAGAGTCATGGATTTGAGTTCCACTGTACTGCTGAGAAGTCCCATGTTCAGACGAAACAGTCATCCATTTGTTCTAGGATCTCATTGGTGGTCTAACTTAAATCGACTCATTAATTTAACCAAGAAAGTACACATATTTCTAAATAATTCATCTTTAATATTATTCACAAGGGCTTCAACAAGAAGCCCTGAACCTAAATTTCATGCTAGAAAGATGTACCTATAATACTGACGGAACTGATTCTCCTTGTAGGATCTCAACCAGGACTACCTAGTTCCAGGTTTTTTAATCATTATTCGCAACAGTTTACGTGTTACAACATGAAATGTTGTACTTTTGAGCAAAAACTATAATTAAAACTGACATTAGGCAAACAGGCATAATTTTTAAAACTGCCACTGTTAAGGATCAGAGTCTATGTTGCTACGAATAATCATATTGATATCGCATTCACAAACCACCCACATCTCAAATGAGGTAGAAGTGATCTTATCTTTCATTTATGAATAGAGCATTATTCGTTGTCACGAGAAAATTAACACTTTAAGTTTCAATTCCACACAAACGTATTATCTTCATCTATCTCTCAATCGATTCCTATTTGTGTATCACGTTGTTACCCACTAATATTCAATCACTAATGTCACTATCAATCATACTCTTTTCTTTCAGCTTATATTTTGTGTATTAGTGACTTATACTACTTGTTAATATTCAGTAAATAGTTTCATTTCTCAAAATTTCTATGCGTGTAATATAACGAATTCCGAGATGGTGGAGAAGATTTGTAGCTCAGGTGGATGATTTTGATGGAGTTTTGTTCTCTGAGATGGATGGTTTGGTCGTAGAGCTTTCATCGTTCTTCTGAACGACATCATCAGCACAAACTTCAGATAGAAGTGAAGTGTTCGAATTTCGATCCGACTTATCAATCAATCAGTAAACTTATGCACAAATATAGGAACAAGAATCAAACCAATAGGAGACAAAACAAAAAAAAGTAAACAATGACAAATTTGATAAACTGTTAATATTAGACACAGTTATCATCTGTCATTTACTCAATGTGATCGCTATTTATGCTTTTTTTTGTCTCAGATATACAAACATATTAGTCACCATAGTTATTAAAACTTACATTTTGTTGATATGGTGATAGACCAGATTGAAATTGACTTTCATTTCCTGTTAACTCTTTTATAATTGAATTATATCCACCACCTAATAGACCAATAGCTGCTGCAGCAGCCATTTGAGGTGGTAGACCAGTTGTAGCTGAAACAACATTAGCAAAACCTAATGGAGAATTCGGTGTATTGACATTTCCATGTTGATTTAAATGAACTGTAGCTAATGTCTATATTACATTTCAAGAAAAAAGAAGAAAAACAAACAATTTACCAATCATTATCACTAATATCATGTTAAAATAAAATTCATTTGATTATCCTGATGTTTTCTAAGTTGAAATCTAGGTATACAATTGTATCAGAAGGGGGATTTGTGGAGATTGTAGTAATTTCAATGGTTAAGATCATGAGTCAATTGAAGCTAGACCACCATGGAAAACCTGGAAGAACTGGACAGACGTTTCGTCCTATTTGGGACTCGTCAGCTGGATGTACCTGCATCTCAGAGTTGATGTTCAGTCTGGGACTCCAACCCAGTACACTTCGCTGATCAATTTCAGTTCTAAACATCATTCGGAAGATTCAAGTAAACAACAATATCAAGTGAATTAAACTTCCCCCCATCGCACAAGCAAATGGCTATCAAGACTCAGTAGCTGAGTGGATAACATAATGGCGTTTCAAGCGAATGATAATGGGTTCGAGTCTCAGAGTGAACATCAACTCAGATGCAGGTACATTCAACTGACGAGTCCCAAATAGGACGAAACGCACATCGAACTGAATTCCACTGCTAGCCACTATCCATCTTTGCTTATATAATGCTTGTAAATTAAGGCAATATCGAGGCAATACACACAGTATGCACATATGGCATTGAGAGACTGATCAATTTCAGTCCTAAACATTAATGAGAAGATTCAAGTAAAACAATACAAAGTGAATTAAGCATCAAATTTATCAAATATAAATAAGGACATGGTTCTCAGGTTCACTGTATACTAAATAAGTCATCCAATCAACGTGAACCCTGTTTGAAGTAGGTATTTGCTTTAGTGTGTAATAGACATGTGGTGTGATACGAAAAGTGTTAAGATAACAGATTGCGTGTCTATGTAAGTGGGAAGATATTTCATTCACTATATATTGTCTCTGGTCGGTGAATTTTAAGAAAACATACTTTATTTATTTATATTTATTTATTTGAACACATAAATATTGGTACAAGAGGGCACCAAATATATATGCGCCACATAGGTCTCATTTAATTTGTGTGAGGGCTATAATACTGCCCGGGTGCCCAAACCGAACCAGGTGGTTTTCTTAGGGGGCCACACCCCGAGCCTTCGACCTAAAGGTCTGACCCACAAGGCAGTGGAGCATCGTGAGGAGATGCAGTCCCATGGTAGTTGGTGACCAACGATTGGTTCATGTGGCATTTGTTCCTTCGGGATACTGGAGCCAGCCCATGTGCACTATTGGTTTGGGATCCGGTTAAAGCACTGGATATTTGCTTTTCATCCTCTCATTTTCGTAAACAACACCCCCGCCACGTAAAGGGCAGTGAGTAGGACTTCCCTGGGCAGAGGCTGTATACGCGTGGCCATGTGAGAGCATTTCGAGAAGGAGAGCGAACTCGCTCCACTCTCGGCCATACCAGATCATTTGGGGGCGGGGTTACCGCGGCTGCTGGCACCAGACTTACCCTCCAATTGGTTCTCGTTAAAGGATTTAAATTGTACTCATTCGAATTACGGAGCCTCAATTGAGTCCCGTATTCGTATTTTTTTCGTCACTACCTCTCCGTGTCGGGAGTGGGTAATTTTTGCGCCTGCTGCCGTCCTTGGATGTGGTAGCCATTTCTCAGGCTCTCTCTCCGGAATCGAACCCTGATTCCCCGTTACCCGTTATCATCATGGTAGGCAAATCACCTACCAATAAATGACTGTAAAATCTTTTGAACCATTTATACTACTTAGTAAATGAATATTGTCTGTTTTACTTGCACAACAGTTTTGTACTAATAACTAATAACAATATTTTCTATGTAGTGACATTATATTTATTAGGACTGACAACACTTCAATTTGTATACATCTTCTAACAGAAAAGAAGTGAATATATTTAGAGTATAATGCATATTAATAATTCATTCGTAAATCGTTTTATAAAGTTATCTGTTCTATACATCTATGGTATGTGCTACTTATACGTAGACATAAGTAGTATATGATGTTTGTCGTGAACAGAATGTCTAGCATCAGAGAGACAGACAACAAGATCGAACAGTTAAGAATGAAGACAGACTACAATTTGTATGAAAATGCAAGAACAAATGAAATCTGAGTCATATGGAGACCATTGATGGACATTTTGCATATCGACCATTGAATATATGGATGTTAGATTTTACTAAGTGGTTCTGTAATTTGTTGTTCAAATACATTCGATTGTCCACCACTTGTGTCGGTGTTCACCACATATCTAAGAGATTTGTCAATGGAAAACTTTGACAATCAATAATGATTAATTAAGACCTTCAATTAAATTTGACTGATTATTTCTTATAGTTTCTTTTTATTTAACTATAGTTGTGTGAGGGCTGTGATACTGCCCGGGTGCCCAAACCGAACCAGGTGGTTTTCTTAGGGGGCCACACCCCGAGCCTTCGACCTGAACGTCTGACCCACAAGGCAGTGGAGCATCGTAAGGAGATGCAGTCCCATGGTAGCCGGTGACCAACGATTGGTTCATACGCCATTTGTTCCAGCAGGATACTGGAGCCCATGTGCACCATTTGTTTGGGGTCCGGTTAAAGCGCCAGACATTCGCTTTTCGTCCTCTCATTTTTGTAAACAACACCCCCTCCACGTGAAGGGCAGTGAGTAGGACTTCCCTGGCAGAGGCTATATACGCATGGCCATGTGAGAGCATTTGGAGAAGGAGAGCGGACTCTCCCCACTCTCGGCCGTACCAGGGCATTTGATATTAGACCACTATTGAAAATCTGAAAGCATTGGACGGTCATTTTGTTTTCAACGATCGTCTAACAACAATCGGTTGATGATCTCAATCAAAAACTTGACAATCTCCACAACCCCCTAGCTGTTACTTTATTGTTATTATTATTATTATCATCACTATTATTATTCGTAAAAACAAATTGTTGTCCTCTCCTCTTTGTCAATATTCATAATGTATTCCAACAGTCTACGTTAGCATACAGACTCACTGAGCAGGTAGTTATAAGTTTATCATACATTAGTATAATCAATAGAAGGTCGATTGATTTATTTATTTTAACACATAGATATTGGTACAAGGAGGCACCAAATATGTATGCGCCACACGAATCTCAATTGATTTGTGTGAGGGCTGTGATACTGCAAGGGTGCCCAAACCGAAGCAGATGGTTCTCTTAGGGGAACACACCCAGAGCCTTTGACCTGAAGATCTGATACACAATGCAGTGGAGCATCGTAAGGAGATGCAGTCCCATGGTAGCCGCTGACCAACGATTGGTTCATACGCCATTTGTTCCCGCAGGATGCTGGAGTTAGCCCATGTGCACCATTTGTTTGGGATCCGGTTAAAGCGCTGGACATTCGCGTTTCGTCCTCTCATTTTCGTAAACAACACTTATGATACGAGAAGGTAGTGAGTAGGAGTTCCCTGGCAGAGGCTATGCACGTGTTACCCTGTGAGAGGATTTCGAGGGAGAGCGGACTCTCCCCACTCTCGGCCGTACCAGGTCGATTATCATACTCAAAATTAATCGATTATTATTATTATTATTATTATTATTATTATGAATTAGTATTTAAAATGATTACCACTGGATTCCAGTTACCATGTTAACAACAACGTTAGACTGACAAGTCTTACATTGTACTGTTAATTAATATTGAAATCCTAAATAACTTTGATTCATATACTATATGGAAGCATTCACTTAAAAAGCAGATACTCAAACTAAGAAGTAAAGAAATATATAATTTATATGAATTGAATTCTTCATGTATAGTTCATTTTGAAAACTGTTATATTGTTTACTAGGATTCGTATGAGGGCTGACATATTACCCGGGTGTCCAAACCGAAGCAGATGGTTTTATTAGGGGGTCACACCCGGAGCCTTCGATCTAAAGGTCTGATCTACAAAGCAGTGGCGCAGTGTAAGGAGATGCAGTCCCATGGTAGTCGGTAACCAATAATAGGTTCACATGCCATTTGTTCCCTCACGATCCTGAAACTCATGTGTACTCATTGGTTTGAAATCAGGGTTTTCTAACTCCTCTGGGTGGACTCTCCGCATGAAAGTAATAAATTGATGTAAATACAAATAGAGTTTATAAACACAGTCACATTCTATATCACTGATTTACCTGACTTTGTTGTTGTTGTTGTTGTTGTTGTAATTGTGCCATAAATGAAGCAACATTTGATACATTTGACTGATGACTAGGAAAATAATTATTTCTTAAATGATTATTTGTACTATGAGATAATGCAGTAATAGTAGTTGAAGATGATCCTGTTCCATTATTAGGACTTGGTGAATTTGATGTACCTGTATTACAAAATGATACTTGTGTATTGTTTTGTTGTGATAAATTAGCAAGTGTAGAAGGTGAACAAATTGTACCACCATTAATAGAAGATACATTTGCAGAACATAAAGCTGCAGCTACATTAGCATGAGCAATAGCAGCTTGAACCATTTGTAAACTTGGAATAGATGATGGATTAGCAGTTTGTATACCATAAGTACCAGTGTTCATATTTCCAGGGACTAAAGTCTATCAAGTATACAGTTGAATAGTTAAATAATGTATGTGTATACATAATTTTTTTATGAAAAACATATTGTATAAAAAAAAAGCAAATCTGATGAAATACTTTCTCAAACAAACAATTTACATCCGCCAAATTGGTTCAGTACTACTTCCAAAATACATAGCATATATAAACATTGTTTGAACTAGTAAAGGAGAAAATCACTCAGACTATTTGGAAAACACTTACAAAGTCAAAGTACCTGGAATATATTAAACAAACTATCTTGTGAAATAATAAAACCTTCAAAATATTGTGTTCTTGAACAAGAATTGAATGGAAGTAGAAAAGAAGGCCTAGGACAGAGTGGTTTGGAGAATGTTGGTTGGTGGCCTATGCTCCATTGGGAGTAATAAGCGTAACTAAATAAGTAAGTAATCGTAAAACTTTTCAATATTCTCTAATTTAAAAATCATAACCTAATTGATATCAGCTAGTGATAGAAAACACTTACAAAGTGAAAGTACCTGGAAAATATTAAACAAATCATGTTCAAATAATAAAACCTTCAAGATATTGTGTTCTTGAAACCCAAGAATAATGTAATCTATTCTCATTGGGTCATTCGAAGTTTAATTTTTTTGAAAAAAAAAACCATTATCATCAGACAACCAATAAATGTGACTGATATTGTGGTATGGGTTACTTATATCGACATAAGTAGTATATGACGGTGGTCAAGCATAGAATGTATTTCGGTAGAAGGTTGATGAAGAAAGAACGGGAACGAAACACAATCTGAGACAATAGATTGATGTTTGCAACAGGAACAGTCCAGTTTGATATGATGGATTGATATTTTGCCAATTAACGATTTACTATATGGTTGTTATATTTTATTAACAAGTACTGTAATTTGTTGTTAAATACATTCGATTGTTCCCCACCCGTGTTCTTTTCACTACGTTTAGTGTCGCTGTCAAGCAGGAGAAGGGGAGGGTGCTGTTCTGCGGACGCCGTTGCAGGCCTGGAGTTGAGGTGCCGTCTGGTGGAGTGTTCTGGCGGGGCGGCGTTGGCTGTAGCGGAAGCTGTTGACGGAGAGGAGCGGTAGGACGAACGGCTGCTGGGCGGACATCGGATGTAGATGACTCAGCAGGCCGATGAAGCAAGGGTGTAAACGTCCTAGGTGCCGGGTGGATGTCGGATGTTGGTGCCACGGCAGGTCGACAGAGCTATGGAGGTCAGCGAGCCGCAGACTCAACATTTTGACGGAGTGCGTAGCACAGACTACAGAAAAGAAGAATACTGCACGGCGAGCATGAACCACCGCAAGAACGACTGCTTTTAAACGGGGGACGAGTGTGGTGTGTGCTACTTATGTAGAAATAATTAGTATATGACGGTGGTCAGGCTTAGAATGTATTCAAGTAGAAGGTCAATGAGGAAAGAACAGGAACGAAACGCCATTGGTATGAAAATTCATGAACAATAAAATCTGAGACAATCGATTGATGTTTGCAACAAGAAAAGTCAAGTTTGATATGATGGATTAATATTTTGCAAATTCACGATTTACTATATATGGTTCTCAGATTTTGTTGAGATGCTCTGTAATTATATGCCTAAATACATTCGATTCTCACTACAATTGATAAATTGTAGTCACATTTCTTTTATAGATACAGAAGTTATTTTAATCTCTGAAGAACTTAGGAAAACATAAAACACTACAGAAGACATTTTCGTCGTGTAAAAGTCGCAGTTAAACAAATATTATCAAATTTCAATCAATTCTCTTTTGTACCGAGTACATTGAAAACTTGTTAAATAGTATTTTATTACAATAGTTAAGAGTCAGTTGAAGCTAGACCACCATGGAAAACCTTAAAGCACTGGACGACCGTCTCGTCCTATTACGGGACTCCGCAGTGGTAGTGCGCATCCACGACCCCGATCACCTTAGAGGTTCGAACCCACGACCTATTGGTTTTGTGTGCGAGCACTTAACCACTAGACCACTGAGTTGACCGGCATCCAATGGTGTTCATGTCTAACTTCAACTAATCCACAAAATTGAGTGAAATATCCACCATTATCTTTAGTGAATTACTATCTCACAATAGACCTGGTTGAACTCCACTGGTCATTACTTCTCACTAGAACTTCAGGATATACCTCTTGAAGCCAGTCACTAATGAGCATATGTTGATTAATATCAGATAGGTTTTGTAGATATTATAATAATTTCAATGGTTAAGTTCATGATTCAGTTGAAGCTAGATCACCATGGAAAACCTGGAAGCATTGAACGACCGTTTCGTCTCATTGTGGGACTCTTTGAAATTCTACTGGTACAAACATACTGAATGAGCTATCACTTACATTTTATAAACATTTCAACATTTTCTTAAATGACTTTTAACATAATATAATTGTTTCACTCAAGAGTATATCATTTCAACATTCTTCACACTTTAATTCAACTCCAACTCAATTGTTAACTACAATTTAACCCTTCATTTCTACCATAAATCAAATAGTATAGACTTGATTAATAAAACGAAGTTTACAAAACTATTTAGTTGCTGGATTCAAACCATAAAATTTAAGTTAATAGATGTAACATCTCCAATTAGTTGTCAAGTTAATGATCAGGCTTCAACTCTACAAATATCAGGCAGTAATTTTCAAATTCTATTCTAATAAGATTGTCTACCACTTACTTCAAGATGAACTATAGTCTATACCTATCCTTTTTTTTTTTCTAATCAAGCCCGGATAAAGGAGGAGGGTTGGGTATGGGGTTAGCGACCTCATCCCGTAGAAAACTAACTCGTTAAAACAACGCTAACCAGCAAAAATAATTCAAACCATTTAAACTCTACGCTGGAAGTTAGAAGGTTTTCATTTAGAAGAGTTATGACGTCTCATGATGAAAGCTGAGTTCCTTTGGAAGTCACGAGGTCGATGCTTGTTCTGACAACCAGAGCAACTATTTATTTAGGTACATGGAATGTTCATACAGTGTGGGAAACTGGGAGAGTCTTTCAAACTAATGCAGAAAAATAACATATAAAAACAATGTTGTTGGTTACGGTATTATAAGAGTTAATTCTGCTTACATCTTTTATCTACGTTTCCTTCTCATTTGATTCCTATTTGTGTATATTGTATTATGTTACTAACTAATATTCAGTAAACTAATGTCATTGTCAATCATTTTTGAAGATGATGCATTTCATATAACTTATTTGTTATATGGTATTATCTAAGTGATTACATGAATCAATGACAATTCATATCAATTTAGGTGTTGTGAAGATTGTCAAGTTTTTGATTGAGATCATGAACCGATTGATGTTAGACCACCATTGAAAACCTGGAAGCACTGGACGGCCGTTTCGTCTTATTGTGGGACTGTACAGTAGTGCGCATCCACGATCCCGCACTAAAGGGACCCGAACCCAGGGACTTCAGTTTCGCGCGTAACCATCTTCCATTGTACTGAGATAGACACCTGTTTCTACCCGACACGGATTAGCTACACTGGTCACGGCTTCTCACCAGAACTCCGATAATTTTCTTACGAAGCTAGTCACTAGTGAGCACATTGTAATTATCAACGGCCGTCCAGTGCTTCCAGGTTTTCAATGGTGGTCTAACATCAATCGGTTCATGATCTCAATCAAAGACAAATCATATATTTATTATTGTATTTATACTCTCTTAACATTTATAATCGTCGAAATTTGTTTGCCTTGATGAAGACGTTTCAGGGACTCAATCATATCACTTCCCAGAGTTACACAATCATAATTATAGTTATTTTTTTACATCTAATAGTCTGTCATAAAGACAAGGAATTATTAAGTTATTAACAGAGAGGTACTGAAAGTCAGTCAGAATCTAAAATTATATGATGGTCAAAGGGAGATAAGAATGAAATAACATCATTTTTCATAAGTTTCTTGTTCAGCTTCCCAAAGAACCAGTTCATCATACATTTTAAAGATTCTGATGGAGATAGATGACTAGAACCGACTAGGTATTCAACAATCGAGTCATCAGCTGATTTGAAACCGCCTTTTGGTGGCCGTGATGGATAGCGGTCGACTATGTATTTGGAAAGAGAAACATAACAACTCCTTAAGAGCAAATAAAATGGTTCGAAGCGGTAGTTTATCCTTAAAACATTCTAGGATTAGTCACCTGGTGGAAAATACAATTTACAGATCAACTAATAAAATTTCTTCAAGCAGTTGGACAATCAATTTCGTAAGATTTCTTCGGCTATATCTCCTTTAAACTAAAAATTCATGAGAAAACTATTCTTCCGTACAGTAGACGTTTTTTCAGTTAACTGTTTTGGCTTCAACTTACTAACAATTATTGTATCGTTTAATTTCGGGATTTCCACGTGTCACTCAATTGTTTGGTAAGAAAAATCAGGTGGATTTAATAATAATCATCAGTATTGGGGTTGTGGAGATTATTAAGTTTTAGGTTGAGATCATGAATTGACTGATGTTAGACCACCGTTGGAAACCTGGAAACCGTGACCAATGGAGTTAATCCATGTCGGGTAGAGACAGGTATCTACCTCAGTACAATGGAAGATGGTTGCGCAATTTCGTGGATTAGTTGATGTTAGACATTAACACCATTGGATGCCGGCAGCCGCCTCAGTGGTCCAGTAGGTTAAGCGTTCGAGCACAAGACTGGAGCCCCTGGGATCGAATCCCTTTGGTGCGGGATCGTGGATGCTCACTGCTAAGGAGTCCCACAATAGGACGTCCAGTGCTCCCAAGTTTCCAACGGTGGTCTAACATCTGTCGATTCATGATCTCAATCAAAATGTACTTCTGCTGTCATAAAATAAGATGGATGAAAAAACAGAACCTCGTCATTTAAACTATAAAATCGATTATTTTGGAATAATTTTACTGTTGAATAGATTTTTACGGTTAACAATCTTTAAGTCACTGACAAAACAGACAGTAGGATCCTTATATTTGTTAAAATCTAGAATGGATAAACTGAGAGATATTCTTTGAACAAAATGATTACAGTTTATTAAGACAAGCTGAAATGAAGATAAACTTACACGAAAATTATTTGCTTGAACTAAACCAGCTGCTGAAGATAAATAAGCCGTATTTTCGTAGGCTGAAGCAAGTGACGGTAAACCAGGGATTGTAGCCCATTGAGCGGCAGCTGCAGCGGCTGCAGCCGCTGCCATAGCTGTAGAAGCATCTGTTGCCGTAGCAAATATTCCATTGGATGTCTCAACTAGAAATAAAGAGGTAAAATAATTCATAAAAAAAGAAACCTAAATTAAAGTTTATCAATCAAAGAATATTATTCGTAGAGTAGTAGTAAATCCAGGGTATTACAGTTTAAAATCCTACTGGGTAACAACAGTTCTCCAAATATCCTAGGGTCTCTTGTGAAGGGGGATCAACTAGCATGACGTCCATGTTCGGATTGCCTTTAATTACAGAACGTTAAAAAATATAGTTGAACACTACATTGTATCGGATAATCATTACAACATTAATTAGGATGTTAAAGGTAAACTTTGTAACCATTTAGTCTCACTACTTTGTCACCATATTCCCCATAAACAAGATTTTCTTTGCAAGAAATATTTTCCAATTTTTTTCATATTCAAGAAGCTGTATCTAATGTAACAAATGTAACTATTGATGATTTCTTCTACGCTACACAGTTCTAAAGGGAAATAACTCATTTTTATGACTAATCTAAAACATATTCATAATTAAAATGGAGTAATTTTCATGTGACTATCTATAAATTTGCCCCTAAATGCCCTGGTATAGCCGAAAGTGAGGAGAGTCCGCTCTCCCTCTCCAAATGATCTCACATGACCACGCGTATATAGACTCTGCCAGGGAAGTCCTACTCATTGCCCTTCTCATGGCAGGGGTGTTGTTTACGAAAATGAGAAGATGAAAAGCAAATATCCGGTGCTTTAACCGGACCCAAACCAATGGTGCACATGGGCTGACTCCAGTATCCTGAAGGAACAAATGGCGTTGAACCAATCGTTTATCACCGGCTACCATGGGACTACATCTCCTTACGATGCTCCACTGCATTGTGGATCAGGCCTTTGGGTCAAAGGTTCGGGGTGTGGCCATCACACATATCAAATGAGATCTGTGTGGTGCATATATATTTGGTACCACCTTGTACCAATATCTATGTGTTGAAATCAATAAAAATCCATAAATTTAATATCGAATTAGAAACACTAGAAAACAGTGAAATGTGGGTGGTGGTACAAAACAATGTTCAGAGAATGATATAAAAATATTGACCTGTAAACGAGTAAAACATTTGTACAATTACACTTCTACCTAATAATCCCCCACTTCGGGTAGATACCAAAAAAAAAGAACCTACTAGTTGGTCCTGTAGCTGCTAATTGAGCAAATATTGATGGTTGTAAATTAGCAACCATACCATTGATATTACTAGGAGAAATTATATTTGTTGGACAAGTACCCAAATTCGATAAAGAATTATGTTGATTTACTCCATTCTGATGTGGATTATTTACATTCATATTACTGAAACCAACAGGTATTGTTGTTTTAGGTTTAGTAACTTTAGTATTACTACGGGCAAACTCTAAACGCATATGTTGATTACCATCTGGATCAAATTTCACACCCTAATAATGATGAAGGTTTAAAAAAAAAAAACTGGATAAAATCACTTTTATAAACAATTAGATTATGACATTCATTTGCTTTGACATGTGAATGAGAAATCAATAACCAGATGAAATTATATAAGATTCAATAGTTCCAGGTTATTCCCATTAATTAATTAGTGTTATGATATTCATCAGTGTGAACTTATCTACAATTCAGTAACAAACGCCTGTTACTCCTCGCGAAGGAGTATTCTCCATCTAACCCTGTCCTGGACAATCCTTTCCAGCTCTTTCCAGTTCTTATTCATCCTTTTCATATCTGATTCTATTTCCCGACATAATGTGTTCTTTGGCCTTCCTCTTTTCCGCTTCCCTTCATGATTCCAAGTTAGCGCTTGCCTCGTGATGTAGTTTGATGATTTGCGTAATGTATGTCCTATTCATTTCCGTTGTCTTTTCCTAATATCCTCTTCAGCTGGAAGTTGGCTCGTTCTCTCCTACAGAAGGCTGTTGCTGATGGTATCCGGTCAATGGATGTTGAGTATCTTGCGTAGACAGCTATTGATAAATACTTGTACCTTCTTGATGGTGGTTGTTGTAGTTCTCCACGTTTCAGCTTCCTACAGTAGAACTGCCTTGACGTTGGTATTAAAGATTATGACTTTGATATTAGTTGACAGACAGTTGTTTTGAGTTGCATATGTTCTTCAATTGTAGGAATGCTGTCATTGCTTTGCCAATACTCGCCTTTACGTCTGCATCTGAACCTCTTTGTTCATCGACGATGCTTCCCAGATATGTGAAGGATTCCACATCTTCCAGAGTTTCGCCACCAAGAGTGATTGCATCGCTGTTCTCCGTGTTGCGTTTGAGGACATTGGTTTTCCCCTTGTGTATATTGAGGCCTACTAATTCAGAGACTGGTGCTATGCTGTCTGTCTTTATCTACGATAGGAGGGTTAGGTCATCTGCGAAGTCCAAATCGTCTAATTGATTCTGAGCTGTCCATTGTGTGCCGTGTTTTCCCTCAGACGTCGAGGTCTTCATAATCCAGTCGACCAAAAGAAAAAAGAGGAAGGGAGAGATTAGACAACCTTGTCTCACTCCGGTCCTTACTTGCAATGCATCTGTCATCTGTCCTCCATGCACTACTACTTTACACTGTAGTCCATCGTATAAGTTCCGGATAATGTGGACAATCAAAAAATAATTTTACTGACCATTTAATCGTTTTCAAAAGTAGATGTTTTATGTAATTTATTAGAAATCAATAAAACATGTATTCGATCGATTGTATCTACACGATAAAACCATTAATTGATTAATAATAATTGAGTTCAAATGTAAGTGTATTACAAATAAAGAAGATTTATACAAAATGATAGGGGATGGAATAACAATTTACAATTCAATAATTTCAATGATTAAGATCATGAGTCAGTTGAAGCTAGATCACCATGGAAAACCTGGAAGCACTGGACGGCCGTTTCGTCCTATTATGGGACTCCTCAGCAGTGCGCATCCACGACCTCGCCCCCTGCGAGATTCGAACCCAGGACCTACTGGGTCCCTCCTGATAATTCAATAATTGTTATTCATTATCTCGAATTGAAATAATTTCGATAAAACAGTAAGAAGATGATGAGAGTAAATTCAACATGACAACAAACTATTTTGGTATACATAAAAGGCAGTTTGAATTTATGAATAGTCAAGCATTCTATACATTACAAAAGGTATCTCCGCCATCTAATGACTCCGAGTTTTTAAATGATTGTAAAAAATTTCAATAGAATTTAACAATTATAACAATCATCAGAAGGGATTGTATGGAGATTTTTTGAAATTTCACTAGTTGAAATCATGGTTGGTTAATCGCCTAGCGCCAGACTGATAGGTCCTGGGTTCGAATCTCGCGAGGAGCGGGATCGTGGATACACACTGCTGAGAAGTTCCATACTGGGACGAAACGGCCGTCCAGTACTTCCAGGTTTTTCATGGTGGTCTAGCTTCAATGGATTCATGATTTCAAACAATTATAACAATCCTATACTGACTATTTCACTATTTTATTTCTGCTAGACATTTCATGTTTGTAAATTATTCAAAGTGACTATCTCATTATCTTTAACTGTTCTTTGAACAATTCTATCCCATATCTGAGGTTTTATTATTTAATTATTCAGGATGTAACCAACTGAATGGTATTTAGTATTGATTGATCACTGAATAGTAATCAATGTCATATTTGTCTAATCCTTTAATTTCTATAATGTGTAATAAGAAGAAGACGAAGATGATCAGAACTATATGATGACAGATTAGCGCAATACATTTCGAACAATCTCATCACCCACATTACATACTTGTTAAGAGCATTTATAGATAAAAACAAAAGGTCAACTAGACTGGAAATGGGATAAGAGCAGATAAGGATAATAACAATAATAACAATAAGAGTAATAATAATAATAATCTGAACACAATTCAAAACCTAATCACTCTGGATAATAAGTCAATATTACCAGGGTAGGTTTAAAGTAAGAAACAAACTGTCTTTGAATACATAAAGAGGGTTTGGAATTTCATATGGTTAAGGCTTTAATAAACCTTAGTATACGCCCTTTTACACTTTTATATAATACCACAAAAGCCGAGTTTAGATCAATCTTGTGCCCTGTTTCAATTATATGTTTAGCAATAGAGGATGATGGATGTTTATCCTCTGCTCTTAGTGGGTCAGTTGATTGTATTTGTTTTTGCAGCCATTTGGGTACATGTTCACTCACCCTAATGTTCAGATCACGATTGCTCCTCCCTATATATGTGTGACCACACACACACTGAAATTAGTAAACCCAGTGGGGGTGTGACACAATCGTTTTCATGTCTTTTAGGTTTTGGATGAAATATGCACGTTGTTCTTTCTTTGACAACGACCTTTGCTGCGCAGTACGTTTTATTGATGACTGATTTAAGTCTTTGTTTCAATAACAGACAATTTGAATCAACTCTGAATGGTAAGGTGATGTAGACAGGCTTTGTTCTACCGAGGCTACAGTAGGTCTCACTGTACCATGGACTTTCCATCTATTTATGAATTTCGGAGGTTAACTATTTTCTATTAATCTTTTATTTAGCAACTTAACATCATCATCATCAATGGCGTCATTTGTACAAATACGATGAAGCCTGCTGAAAAGACACCTTATCACGTCACGTTTGTATTGCACAGGGCAATAACTATAATAACTAAGATATTGACCTGTCCACCTTGGTTTTCTAAAAATGGATCGCTTGACTGAGCCATCTCGTCTACTCAGAAGTAGGTCTAGGAAGGGGAGCTGATTAGGGTGAGTGAACATGTACCCAAATGGCTGCAAAAACAAATACAATCAACTGACCCACTAAGAGCAGAGGATAAACATCCATCATCCTCTATTGCTAAACATATAATTGAAACAGGGCACAAGATTGATCTAAACTCGGCTTTTGTGGTATTATATAAAAGTGTAAAAGGGCGTATACTAAGGTTTATTAAAGCCTTAACCATACGAAAATTCAAAACCCCTTTGTGTATTCAAAGACAGTTTGTTTCTTACTTTAAACCTACCCTGGTAATATTGACTTATTATCCAGAGTGATTAGGTTTTGAATTGTGTTCAGATTATTATTATTATTACTCTTATTGTTATTATTGTTATTATCCTTATCTGCTCTTATCCCATTTCCAGTCTAGTTGACCTTTTATTTTCATCTATAAATGCTCTTAACAAGTATGTAATGTGGGTGATGAGATTGTTCGAAATGTATTGCGCTAATCTGTCATCATATAGTTCTGATCATCTTCGTCTTCTTATTCCATTATCGAAATTTATAAAAGCGACTAATTGCTTTAAATTTTAATCCTTTAGTGTTGGTCAAACTCTATCGATCAATCCCAATTGACCGAATACCTCAATGGTAACGTTACTGTCCGTGGAAATTATTGACCCGATTTCCTCAAGACTACAGGTATATCTTTCTTGTCAAGTGTTCACTAGCACTTCTTCCAATCACTAATCATCTCAACATCATTCACACAACGTTCAGTTACAATATACACTAATGGTTGCCTCTCATCCTTATCAATTTCTATCGATTAACACTAAAAGTCTAGATAAACATAATAGTGGACATTAGTCAGTCAATAATCGATTACAAAGATCTTCGTTATGAAACACGTTATTAACTAATTGAGAGAACTAAGAAGAAAAAAACGACCAAATCAATAGATCAAGTTACCATATCAACAAGAACATTTCGATATATATTTAAATGAATATGTAGATAAGTGTACTGCTGTGTGTGTGTGTGTGTGTGAGTATGTATTTATGTGCATGTGTTGGTTGGTCAATAAGCAATTTGTACACATGAAAGTGTGTGCGCATGTGTTTGTATAACTGTTTTTTTTCTAAGATCCATGTATTTTATATCAAATAAATGTTTGTTTGAGTAGTAGTGGTAGTAGTAGTAGTAGTAAGAACTACACACAATAGCATACAACTGTAATTGACTACAACGATTATATATATATATAGATGTATATACATGAAACATGGTGTCAAATGAATGAAACAAATATAAAAATCGATAAATGAATCAAACGTTAAACAAACATTATGAGTTCAATCAAAGTAATTCATATTATTATCAGAAGGGATTGTGTGGAGATTTTAGAAATTTCACTAGTTGAAATCATGAATCCATTGAAGCTAGACCATCATGGAAAACTTGGTTGGTTAAGCGCCTGGCACGAGACTGATAAGTCTTGGGTTCGAATCTCGCGAGGAGAGGGATTGTGGATGAGCACTGCTGAGGAGTCCTATACTAGGACGAAACGGCCGTCCAGTGTTTCCAGGTTTTCCATGATGTTCTAGCTTCAGTGGATGAATGATTTCAACCAGTGTAATTCATATTAATTAAATGAATTATTCGAAAAAAAAAGACGATAAATTTAGACATTTATGTAAATGAATGAGTTCAAAAGAAGTTCCCTTAACTTGGAGTGATCAAAGTAAAAAGAAAAGAGATATATCAAATAACATATTGAACCTGGAATTAGAAGAAGACATCAAGACAATCAATTGAACTTGGTAATAATTGGAAAGGTGAGCTTAAGACATAAATTGACTAGAGATCCCTGATCGGTGATCTATGTCTTACAAGAGGATATCACGCTTTAGTAATTATATCATTGAAAAACCAATATATAGATTGATAGAATGAGAAACGTATGACTTTCAATCAATAGATTGACAACAGTTCAAATTATAAGAAAATCAATCATATCGAGATCAACAATTCATTGAGATTCAATTACGTTTTAAACCATGATTTAAATTTCAGTGGATGAAGTTTCCGATCGAATAACCCGACCGTGTTGGTAGATGCAGACTGCCTGGTTGGGGTCCGCATGACTATCGTAACCAATGGTTGAAGACTCTTGGTGACATGACTCAGAATCGATCACAATGGAGTCAGTGTATACACTCTCTGTCTTCCTTTAAACTAAGAGATTAAAATCACTTCATATCTTTCTTTCTACGAACTAATTCTTTCTTCCTGTACTATCTCCTTATATGCAATCTATCTTCTATATATTATCACCACTGCATTAACTACTTCTATGAATCCGGTATTCATCTTGTTGTGTTGTTGCGGTATGGCAACTTGGATCGATGCATATATGTGCCTGGTTCTACGTTCCAACTGACTGCCTGACTGACATATCTGATTACAGGTATGATGTTATTGTGTCCTTTTCTATGTGTTCACTATAAAAAAAATGATAACCAATACGTGATCATAATGATTAATAATGAGTTATAAGGAAGAACTTGATGCTACAAAACTGTTAGGGCATCTTCCTCGATTAAGCAATCGAGTCGTATTGCAACCCTCATACAAATGGAATGATTTGTGTGACCAATAGATATTTGGTGCCTCCTTATATCAACGTTTATGTGTTTAAATCACATAAAATAAATAAATGGAACAAAACGTAATAATCGATTAGATATTTTTATTTAGACGTTACCTGAAGTTTCGCCATTGCTTCTTCAGCTTGTTCTCGTGATTCAAAAGTTACAAAACCTACAGGCTATAATTTAAAGAGAAAATTGACAATTTGAAATAGTAATCCCATTGAAACTGAATGAAAAATAAAAAAAATTTTGAATAGGAAAATCTTGAAATGTCGAATGTCTACACATGATTTGACACTTATAAGTACGAGGGATTTGATGAAGTTTCAGGATTCTATAGTCTATTGTGTGGAATAATTTCGTTAGACATCAATTGAAAATGGACAAACAATGGATGGCTGTTTCGTTTCAGCAATGAGACTCCTCAAGATTGTACATCCACGACCCAATCAAGAGCAAAACACAGACCCTCCAGGTCTAAAGGTGGACACTTAATCTTTAGATCAATGAATCGGCATTCAATAATTTATATTTCTAGCTTCCGTCAGTTTGTTATGTGAACTAAAACTCCAATAACATCCACAGATTCCTTATACCAATAATAATCATGTGTTTACTAATGGCGAATTTCCAAAGATAATTTTGACAGTTAGGATAAGAATCCGTCAGATGTAGAGTTCAGTCATATAAAATGTGAGATACTTACCAACCACAGTATTATGAATTGATTGAAACTAGGAGTGTAACATAATGGTTATCAGTTTAGTCAAATAAATGTTATGAGCTCATTGCGATACCTGTATTTTCTGAGTTCTATCTTCATTGCGATCATGAATGTGAACCTCTGAAAAGTCCCGTATCAGGACAAAACCAATCTTCAGTGTATCATAGTTATCAATGGTTGTCGACCAACTCGTGATGTACACTTAGAGATGAAACATTTGTTAATTATTATCAAATGATAGGTTCAAAGCCAATGAATTGATTGACAGGTTAGATTAGATTTAATATTGTGATCTTTTTAAACTCATTTACTATTTGAAGAAAGTAACATGATCTACCCAGTCTATCTGTTTGGTAATTGTTAAATGATCATCAGTGATAAAATCTTAGCCAACGTTGAATGTAATTTTACAGGATAATCATATTTGAAAGTGTTTCATTTTTATTCTTTTTTATTTATTTGAACACATATATATTCGTACAAGAGGGCACCAAATATATATGCACCACATAGATCTCATTTGATATGTGTGAGGGCTGTGATACTGACCGGGTGCCTAAACCGAATCAGGTGGTTTACTTAGGGGAACACACTCCGAGCCTTTGACCTAAAGGTCTGATCCACAATGCAGTGGAGCATCATAAGGAGATGCAGTCAGTCCCATGGTAGCCGGTGATAAACGATTGGTTCATACGCCATTTGTTCCTTCAGGATACTGGAGTCAGCCCATGTGCATTATTGGTTTGGGATCCGGTTAAAGCGCCACGAGAATGCAGTGAGTGAGATTTCCCTGGCAGAGGCTGTATGCGCGTGGCCATGTGAGATTATTTAGAGAGGGTTAGCGGACTCTCCCCACTCTCGGCCGTACCAGGGCATTTGGGGGCCTTACCAGCGCATTCGATTATGCATCAAGTATAAATTTTTAATTGGGATGTACGACAGTCTGATTATTCATGTACGTACTTCTGTATTCGCTTATTACGATCAACACAGTGATTTAGAATAAAAGCATGAATCAGAATCCATAGTCATTATATTATCTCGTTATGTCTATAGATCAATTGTTCCCAGGCGGAGAGCGTAATTCGTCAAACATATAAGGATATTGGCCCGTGCAAGAAAAACGTATACACGAGGTAGAAATTATAATCTGGATTCTGATTGATGCATTTGCTCTAGTGATTGAATAAGTTGCACATAAGAAACTTTAAGGATGACGATATAGAATTAATCTAATGAGGACTTATAAAGATTGTAGAATTTTGACAGTTAAAATCAATAAACGATCTTAGTTAAACTATCAATAAAAACCGAGCGTCACTCGACAGCTTTTTTATCCTATGGTATGGTATATATATATTAGTAAACCTGTTTCAGATTATCTGATAGTGAGATTATATCCACGATATTGCCAATAATCAAATTAAATTAGGTGTTATTGAAAGGAATCCGCCGATCACTGATCCATCTTATCGATTTATCAATCCCATAAGGATCTATGACTCAGTACTGTTAAGAAATCTCAAAGAAGATTCAGTGAAAAGGTCTAAACATCGTTCTAAACAAATTAAGGATTCATCAATATTCTATCAAACTACACTAAAGTGAATACTGGGGGAATAAACACTAAACATATCATAAATAACTGATAACTACTTGCATTCTAAATAATCTAATTGATTAGACATAACTGCTAGTGAAATGCGATGGAAATTTTAATATAACACCAATTGAACAATTGATTACAAAATATGCCTGTTTGAGGTTTATTTGTAAAGACATAATTAGGAATTTCAATGGTTAAGATCATGAGTTAATTGAAGCTAGACCACCATGGAAAACCTGGAAGCACTGGACGACCGTCTCGTCCTATTATGGGACTCCTCAGTGGCAGTGCGCATCCACAACCCCGATCCCTGAGAGGTTCGAACTCAGGTCCTACTGGTTTCGCGTGCGAGCACTTAACCACTAGACCACTGAGCTGACCGGCATCCAATGGTGTTCATGTCTAACTTCAACTAAGCCACGAAATTGAGTGACATATCCACCATTGTCTTCAGCGAGCTGATATCTCACAACAGACCCAGTTGAACTCCAGTGGTCCCTACTTCTCACTAGAACTTCAGGATATACCTCTTGAAGCCAGTCACTAGTGAGCACATGTTGATTATTATCAGAAGGGATTTTGTGGAGATTGTAGTAATTTCAATGGTTAAGTTCATGATTCAGTTAAAGCTAGACCATCATGAAAAACCTGGAAGCACTGGACGACCGTTTTCTCCTATTGTGGTAACCAATAAAGTTTAACCAGGTCTGTTATGAGATAGTAACTCACTGATGACAATAGTGGATGTGTCACTCAATTTTGTGGATTATTTAAAGTTAGACATTAACACCGTTAGATGTCGGCCAGCTCAGTGGTCTAGAGGTTAATTGCTCGCACGTGAAACCAATACGTCTTGGGTTCAAACTTCGCAGGAGGCGAGGTCTTGGATGTGCACTGCCACCGAGGAGTTTCGCAATACAATCATACAAACCTTTAAATATGATTAATAAAATAATCTTAGATTCATTAAACATAACAAATTAAAAAAAAACTAGCAAAATCAAATATTCCACCATCTGAATCGATTTTTTCTTTTCTTTTTTTTTTTCAACACTATAATATTCATAAATAGACATTGACAATCAATAAAGATCAACTTACCGCTGTAAGTTTTCCATTCTTTCCAGCCGGTTTAAGTGTTGATGACAAATATCCCTGTATATTATTGATATGATTGATTCCAATAATAAAAATATCATCAAATAGAACAGCCCAAAAATTGTGCAATATTATTGGAAGATTGTGCAATGGAATAACCCAATTATTGATTTTTTTTTTTTTTAACGAAGGATAATTTATGGTGAAACCAAATAGATCAAAATCATTTTAATAGAAAGTGAGTTTGAAATGAATGAAATAAGTGATTGAATGAATGTATACGAAAAGCAGGTAGACATATATACATATATTACATGTGTAGCAACAAACGATGATATATCCATAAATGTATTTGATTGTTTGTTCAAATCAGATGAGAGTTACAGGGGAAGGGGGAGGGAAACGAAAAAAAAAAAAAGAAAAAAAATTGGAAACGAGTGAATAGAAATGATGTGCATTATTGTTTTTGGTGCATATTAAAAAGACATATTCCTAAGGATTGTTTACAAATCGGTAAACATTGTTAGCATATGTTGGAATAAAACTAATATGAGATCATAGGCTACTGTACTTTGTAAATGAAAGTTAATTATCAAGGGAAAATATGTGCAGAAAGAATATAAAACAGTTACAAAACTGAAACACTTGCATTCATTATCTCTATACGATTTGAATAGGTCAAGTGAATGCACATAGCCAACTGATGTTTTTGAATTAATAATAAGTATAAAACCAAATACGAAATTATTAGGAGCAACTATAAATTTCTCCGGTCTATAGGAGCTGAGAAAAGGTTGAATGAAAACTTCTTAGAAATACTTGGATAAAGTTAAGGATTAAGTATTACGGTCTGATTGTATGATTATTCATTTTGCTAATGGATGTAAAAGATTTTTTAGAAGCCTCTAACAAGGGTGATGAGATCTTGAACCTAACAAGAAACACAGATCTTCAAATAGCTGGAGGCACATTTCGGTAACCAAGGTCAATTAGTATAAAACCAATAATCCCATACATGTATCCTTTGATCATCGGCTAACTAAATAAGAAAATTACGTGTGAATTAAAATGAGCGTTTCATCTTGCGCTAGATATGATATATGATAACTTCCAATGATATAGTTTTCTTTGTGTGTGTGTGTGTAAGGTTGTACTTTGTGTATAATTGATTGTTTGATTAAAGATGTATTCTTACATATGCGCCACACAGATCTCATTTGATATGTGTGAGGGCTGTGATACTGACCGGGTGCCCAAACCGAACCGGGTGGTTTTCTTAGGGGGCCACACCCCGAGCCTTCGACCTGAAGGTCTGATTGACAAGGCAGTGGAGCATCGTAAGGAGATGCAGTCCCATGGTAGCCGGTGACCAACGATTGGTTCATACGCCATTTGTTCCTTCAGGATACTGGAGTCAGCCCATGTGCACCATTGGTTTGGGATCCGGTTAAAGCGCTGGACGTTCGCTTTTCGTCTTCTCATTTTCGTAAACAACACCCGTGATGCGAGAAGGCAGTGAGTAGGACTTCTCTGTCAGAGGCAGTATACGCGTGGCCATGTGAGAGCATTTCGAGAGGAGGAGCGGACTCCCCCCACTCTCGGCCATACCAGGGCATTTGGGGACGTACTGAGCGTACTGAAAAATAGACAATTAATCACTTGTACAAGCATGGCCAGAACTGTTATATAATGAACTGCCGATTAGAGGGCAGTGAATTATCGATTGGACCAAGGACACGTAAAACACATGCGAGCAGCCTAGAGTTCTGATTAGTCCTGCTTTCCGCCTAGCCCAGTCAGTTATGTCCAGAATGCCAATCTCAGCCACTGCAATACGAATCGTTATATTTCAACCATACTGAGTTTATATACCAATCAAACAGACCATAATGTAGCATAAAATAGAAAATAACCTTGAAGTAGAACTTTTGTTCTTACTTCACACCTATTCTCTATTCTTCAAAGCTTAAGTGTACAAGTATTCAACAATTCTACAAACTAGATAGAACGCTAGGATCAGATTTATGACATAGTCAAGATTTCATGAAAAATAGATGGATCCTTTTTCTTGTCTAAAATTCTACAATTAACACAAACACTACTTGTTTGCTTGTTGTGATCCCCTCAAACAATACTTTAAAAATACAACATGAAAGTAAGAACCTTACAAAAAAAAATTCAAACCAATAATCTATGAATGCTTTAATACTTATAACATTCAATATTGTCAATAATATAAGAATGTAAGAAGGGGGTCATGTGGATATTATAGTAATTTTAATAGTTCAGATCATAAGTTAATTGAAGCTAGATAGTAATATCCACAAAAACCCTTTGGACGGTCTCCAAGAAGTATTTCCTGAAGTTCTAGTGAGAAGTAGGAACCAGTGGAGTTCAACCAGGTCTGTTGTGATGTAGTAACTCACTGATGACAATGGTGGATGTGTTGCTCAATTTTGTGGATTAGTTGAAGTTAAACATTAACACCGTTGGATACCGGTCAGTTCACTGGTCTAGTGTTTAATTGCTCGCGCGCGAGACTGACAGGTCTTGGGTTCGAATCTCCCGAGGAGCGGGATCATGGATGTGCACTGTTGAGAAATCCCACAGTAAGATGAAACGTCCGTCCTGTGCTTCTAGGTTTTCTATAGTGGTTTAACTTCAATTGACTCATGATCTCAACTATTAAAATATAAGAATGCTCAAAAATGTGATGCGTAAAACCGGTTGATTCTATCAAATGTCAGAGAATATTTGTTAGATATGTTCATGAAGTTATAGCATATGCTTAATTGAAAGATGAGCTTCCCTAAAAGTTGTTGTGATCGATTATGAGTTTTATGTTGAATCTCAATGAGCCGTTATTTCATACAATAGATTCTTTTTAAAAAAGATTGTTCATAAATGGAAGAAACATTTTATTCGTGATAATTGAAACCAACTGTAAGTACTAATAGTGACGGTTTGGAATTTGTCTTTTAGTTGAACTTACCACTTAATAATTTGTGAAGTATCAGAAGGGGTTTTGTGGAGATTAATAAGATCATGAGTCAGTTGAAACTACATCACCATGGAAAACCTGGAAACACTGGACGGCCGTTTCGTCCTATTGTGGGACTCCTCAGCAGTGCACATCCACGACCTCGCCCCCTGCGAGATTCGAACCCAGGACCTACTGGTTTTGCGCACAAGCACTTAACCACTAGACTACTGAGAGCTGACCAGCATCCAACGGTGAGGAACCCCATAATATGACGAAACAGCCGTCTAATGCTTCCAGGTTTTCCATAGTGGTCTAGCTTCAATTGACTCATGATCTTAACCATTGAAATTTGTGAAGTATCGGGTTATTTCCAGACTGGAAATTCTAGAATTTAACTCTAATAAAATAATATCCGTTTTAAATTAGTAATGATAAATGGGATGTTTGATGCTTGGAAGTAGTCGACAAGAAACTTTAGACCTTGGTTTCGTGTTATTTGACACTTGTCAGTAAAGTTTACCTGCATCCTTGAAAGAACTAATCATACCTAGCAGATTCGATTCAGTGTCACCCAACTTCATAAATACACTTCTTTCATATAGATCATTTGCGACACAAATAAATATTCTATACTAGAGTTAAATTCTGTTACTATGTAAACAAAATTCAATCTAGAAATGTAGTACCTTAAAATATTCTGCTAAACTTCGTTTGTGGGGAAAAAAAATATTCTTCTTAAACTTATATTTCAACGAACAATCACAATCTGCATTACGGGTAAGTACTGAAAGTTGTTTTTCTTAGTAGTTAACGGATAGAATTCCAATGTTATATATTTTCACAGTTGAAAACGCTAGTCGGTCTAAGCTAGAACAACATTAAAAATCTAGTAGCACTGGACCGACATCCAACGGTATAAATTGTCTAACTTTACTCAATCCGTAATTTTGCACAACCCTTCAATGATTGTCTGAAGTGGATAACTCTTGCATAAATGACACGGATTGAACTCCGATGATCACGGTTTCTCACTAGTCACTGGTGAGCACATGGTTGTTATCAGTATGGGGATTTGTGATTTTCAAGTACTTCCAGTTCTTCAGTGGTGTTCTAGTTTTAATCGACTTGTGATTTAAACTGTGAAAACACTACAATATCTACAAATCCCGATATCTATATATTTTCATCTATTTAATTCACATAAAATCTGGCACAATTGGGCATACAAAATTTATACATGAACTGACATAGTCCCTAGGTATCTAATCCAAAGCAGATGGATTTCTTACGGATCGACTTCCCGATTCTTTGACCTAATCAATGGAGAGATGTAAGAAGATCCAGTCTCATGATGGCCAGTGACGAAAAATAGGTTCGTACCCTATTAATTTATTCAGGATCCTTTAGCCCATGTATACCATTGGCTCAGAAGAAGAGTTTTCAAGTTTTCCTAGGTGGATCCTCCAATTTAGATAAGCGTTGAACGCTAGATAGATAGATAGATGTGTGGATAGATAGATAGATAGATAGATAGATAGATGTGTGGATAGATAGATAGATAGATAGATAGATAGATAGATAGATAGATAGATAGATAGATGCGTGGATAGATAGATAGATAGATAGATGCGTGGATAGATAGATAGATAGATAGATGAGTGGATAGATAGATAGATAGATAGATAGATAGATTTTAGTACATAATATTGATAAATGACAATGGAAAACTGTTACACATTGTTTGTGTAGTTTGACGATGAAAATGAATTAAGCAATAGAATATAAGAAAAATACATTCATTGTGTTCTAACCGCGCGCGTGTGTGTTTGTGCGTATGTGTGTGTGTGCGCGTGTGTGTGTATGTGTATGTGAATGATCTTAATTCATTGAATAATAAATAAATAAATAGAAAGAAATTATAAATAATGAAGTGCATGTATATTAGAAACACACTTTTTATTTTCAATAATAATCTCATGATAATTGTGACCTAATCAATCATTCCTTTTTTATAAGCAAACATGGATAGTGGCTAGCAGTGGAATCCAGTTCGATGCGCGTCTCATCCTATTTG